TAGAGCTCTTCCCCAGTGACTGAACCTTTCCAACTTAAGGTCCAATATTCCCATTTGTCTTCTTCTTGCAAGAACCATGCCACAGGTTCAGGGCATGTCTGTCACAACACAGAGGGCTGCAGGTTGCTGCTTGCTGCCAGTGCTCTGAGCTGAGAGAACAATGTGAACTCATCCACGGACCTTCAGACAATCCCACCCTGCGCAAGGAGAGTTCTTGCTTGAAGACAGAGCAACATTCAGGCTCACTGAACTGTAACACAGTCCAGCATGTTCCAGGCCTAGGGGAAAAAAAAAAAAAAAAAAAAAAAAAAAAAAGCACTTTCTAAGAACAAGAACCATAAGGGAGAGCTGAAAGCTACATCCACTTAAGTTATGACAAAACACTATGATAAAAAAAAAAAATTAATTGCTGGAAAAAAGATCTCCTGAGAAGCAGATATCCCATCCTCCATTCTGCACCACCACGGAGCTCAGCTGCATCCTCTTTCTGTTGAGAGCTTCTTTCCTGATTTACAGCCCTGTAAGAACTTCCCAGCACTCTTTACTCCAGGAGAGATGGTAGCAGGACAAAGCTCATTATTAATAACTTAATTAGCCATTTGTGGGGGGTTCTCTGTTTGTGCCAACACTACCTTCGGAGTTTTAGGACACACGCTGTGTAAGGGGAAACAGGACTTGTGTGCATGCTCTCCAGCTGTTCCATTACACCTGATTTATAGCATGACACTACTTGTTCTAGCCCATAACCTTGAGCTTGTAAACTACACAGGGGAAAATTTACTAACTACTGAGTTCATCTTAATGCACTATGGGGAATTTTAAGCGGGGAAAACTAAGGCAAGGAATCGGGGGCATCTAGAAGCGCTGGTTTTGAACTAGCAATACTTTAATGGCCCAGTGCAGTGTGCCTCACAGTCCACTCTGTTTTCTTTTAATTAAAGCTTTAATTTACATGGCCAGCATACAGTAAGGGCCTATGTTTGTCTTCCTCTGAAGAAGATAATCAATAGGAGAGATGTAGACACGTTTCACTGCTTCTTAGCTGCATACATTGATAGAGGTTAACCACAATAGCGTGTACAAATGCTTTTATTCCACTCTTAGCTAGCCTAGGAGTTTGATTAATAACAGAAGCCAGAAAACTGTTTTGCAACTCTTCTATTGGGAAAGAAAGAAAGATCATCATCCACAAAACAAAACAATTTCCTGGTAGTAAAGGAGTCCTCATTAGTGTATACAGCAAAGCAATGAGAGCTGGAACACAGGTACCAAAGGTACTTACTGCAATTTTGATGAGCAACCTAAAAAGGAGCTGGGAGTTGCATGAACATCAGGTTGAATGTGAGCCAACACCACTCTCCCCTCACAGATAGAGCAAACTGTGTAGTTGGCTCCATCAGAAGCACGGCCAGCACACTGAGGAAAGTCAATGCTGGTGAAGGACTTGGTTTTGGACTCCCAACTGCAGCAGAGAGGGGGAAACTGGAAAGCGTATAAGGTATGAGGCCCAGAGAGCTAGGGTTTACGAGGAGAGGCTGAAGCTAGGTTTGTTCATCTACCACAGAGGTTAACACCAATAGCAACAGGACAGTCACAATGGGAGAGTCAAACATGTCACAGTAACACCAGACAACACAACAAAGGACAGCAACGTATATCTTGGGAGATTCAGGCTGAGCTGTGCAAGAAGTTTGCATAGGGAGAGTAGCACAGTATCAGTACAGGCTACCAAGTGGCAGAGGGATTTCAATTTTTGCAGGTTTTCCAGTGTTGTTAGACAAAGGCATAAGTGACCTGATGTAGTGTTGACAATGGTCCCACTCCAAGCTAATTTAAAATAAAATATCACATAAATCTACAGTTTAAGGCTCCTAATTCATTATTTTTGGTGAAGGGAAAAAGGGAAAAAAAATCTAGGTTCATGCATGACAAAATTAATTCTACCACACAAACCCAACAGTTTTACTACTCAGCAATACACAGCAGCAGCACCCACACATGTGCTAGTTCATCAGATGCTCTGCCCCAAGTTGCCTTTAATTGCAAGAATGCTCAGTTCTTCAAGTGTATTTCATATTTTCAGGTTCATTTCCCCAGTTAATACTCTGAGGTGGACGCATAATTCGCCCAATATAAAGGTACACTCTCCTTGGCTTGTTCTCCTCAATGGCAGCCTGCCCTCTCTATTAGCGTACAACTTCCTTGAAACAACAAGGAGAGCGTTGATGGTATAGAGCAAATATAAAATTAGCTCTGCATTTGCTGACTAATCTCAAGAGATATCTTGTTCCTGAAACTTTCCCTTCCTTTGAAGTTATTTTCCCTAGGTAAGGCTCCAGCACACAGTAACTTGTGTGATTATTATTGCTATTACGGTCTCCTATTTCATTTAATTAGTAATTATTTTAAATTAAAAGGCTGAAATACAGCTGGATAGCTGTCATTCAGCAATAAAGACTCATTCTTTGAAAAGTGAGAAATAAGGTCATTTTCAAGAGAACAATAGATCATATGGTGAAGAATGTCACTTTGTTTACATGGTTCATTGAGGATATTAGGAGTAACCTTATTCCCATTTAGAGGAGAATTCTGTTTGCAAGTGACCTTCCAACATCCCATTGATGGGTTTTCATGGGGATTGACAGAAGGCCAAGAGCAATTCCTATTGTTCCTATGCTCCAGTGAGTGAAGGATTTCCCCAAGCATCTCTGCAATGCTGAGGTGGCAGTACTGCTAGCACAGCTCTCGTATTTGTGTAAGCAGAGCTAATCAGAAGATCTACGTTGCACGACCTTGGTCTAGCCAAATTCATGTCAGGTACTGCAACACAGCTGTTGTAACACCAGGCAGAACAGGCCTGGCTGCCCCTTTACCCTTTAAGCCCTAACACTGTCGAAGATCAGGGTCCAGTCACTGTTTATCACTCTCATCTTTATCTTCCATGTTTTTGAGAAGGTTTTGAGAAGGCTGATGAACACTTTTCAAGTAAGTTCAAAAGTAGATTTAGGAAGATCCATAAATAATCTCCTCAGTAATTGCTCTGGAGTTCTAAAAAGGAAAACAAACCACATACAACACGTGCAGAAAGACATCAGGTTGACAGAAGTACTTCGACTTTCTCACTAAATACTTTAAAATGTTTATGAACAAGCCCAACAGCAGGTTAAGTTTTCCTCAATTAAATCTCACATTGCTGAGCACAGCTCACAGTTCTGCTCTCTTCAGATTTCCCTGAAGCCTTACTACACCTTCACGCATACTTGCTCCTCCCCCTATTTCTGCAGTGTCAGCACATACACACACAAGTGGTGAGTTTACACTGCCCCCAGATGTTACCAACAAAATTAGCATCAAGTAGAGGCCTAGGTCCCTCTCCTCCTCGTGTCTGGTGACAACTCATTTAAGAATAACCTTTTATTGGAGGGCACAGTAATAAAAACATTTATCTTCTAGTGAAGTACTGTTAACTGCAACAAGTCTTTCTTTCTGAATCCATATAAAAAAAATCTGAAGTGTAGACATACTAATTACTAAGAAAACACAGTAGAATCAAAAAAGCATTTACATAGAAAACTTGATGGTATAAAGTTTTATTACTAGATTTTACTGATTTTTTTAAACAGATTCAGGCAGGTTCCCATATCAATGCTCTGGTACACCCATTAATGAAAGCACTTCAGACACTCTTACCCTCCTACAAGTGAAAGGCAGGGATGAAGTCAGTTCAAGCTCCTTATCTTGCAAATCTCCCATTGTACTGTTACAGCCAAAGTTGTGGAGCTTCTTTAGCCAATACCCTAAGGATCCACTGTGGGTCACACACCTTTAAGAGGGAAGAAAAGGGTACTAAGGTGTAAGGTGTGGGCTGAAGAGTATGTCAAAAATGAATCCTACTTTTTGTTTTGAGGAAAACAGGAGTGACAAGCAGCCAAACTAGAATGCAAGCATCCTGCCTTCTGCCTGAAAAATTTTAGAAGACCAAAACTGTTTGATTAAAGGAGCGTCAGGGCCACCTGCTGTATCATGAAGCTGGAAAGGACAGTCACATTCTCACTTCTGTTTCAGTTTTTAGAGAAAACTAGAGTAATGAATATCCATGTATAGACTCAATCTTGTCTGGAGGTCAAGAAGGGATCTGAAGGGAAATCTACAGTTTGCAGCAGAAAGAAGCAATGGGATAAAGTATCCAGGAGCCAGGTTTTACATGCTTAGATGAAAAAGCACTGTTAAACAACAATTATTTCGCAATTCTTTAACGTTTTCCCAAATCACTGGCTTCCCACAGCCTCCCAAAATAAAAGTAATTCAAGTTTGCTACAACTTTTAAGAGTCAATATGGCAAAAGAGGTAAGGGCAGCTGGCAGAGCAAAGCACAGTTATTATAGCGTACCAAAAACAGTTCCTTAAACACATCAGGACCTACAGAAGTTTCTTCCATCTTTCAGACACACCTTTCAGATAAAAGTTACTAAATCCCTGCAATAAAACAAGTAATGCTTCTGTAAGTGCACTACAGAAAAAGAGTGCAAGTAAGCACCCATTTAGTGGTATGATCTATGTGTGTACTTCTTGTGTAACTTCACAATCCCCTAGCACTCCCTTTGCTTTGGTAGCCCAAAGAATCAGCTGTATGACACCTTCATTAAGACAAAGAATTTGTTTCCTTGTGGAAACTGTCCCTTGACCATCATTCAAGTAGTGGTGAAAATATGGCTTTATTTTCACCACTACTTGAATGTAGAAAAGCCACCACTTATCAGGGTGGTAAAATGATCCAAACGATGTAAGCAATTAATCTCCCACTTTAATGTTCCCAGAATGGAAAAGGTCTAAATACCAGACTATTTTCATAAACAAGCAACTACTCATTCTGTCTTTATGCTGATGTTCATGATCTCTGGCCATCTGGGTTGAAAGTCTGACTGGGTAAAGACAGATTTCTCCGTATTGACCTTTTTTTGCCCCCTTTTTCACTTCATAAAAATTAGATTGTTTTCAGAGAACTGAAAGCTTGGTTCATGTATGCAACAAGCTATTCCATATTAAATCCATACAGCATTTTACTTGCCTCAGCATTACAAAAGCAATTTGTTCCCAGACACCACAGAATAATTAGCTCACTCTTCACCAAGATAAGCTTTCCTCCCTATAATGCCTGCTACTCTTATTGAGTTTCTACAGAGAACAGCTTGAGCTCCAAATACATATCGGACTATTAATGCCACGGTCAGAATCAAGAACAGTTTCAACATGCTGCAAGTTTTCTCTGCCATGTCCCTCTCAGACAAACTAAACAATGCCACCTACTGACACTCTCAAAACCTGAACTTTAAGTTTTTTTTACTTACTGCCAGACACAATGCCTAAGACACATAACAGACAGTAAGGAATCAGCAAGAGGAATCCTAAAATGATGCATGATAATCTAGGATTGTTGCCAGCTTTGTTGAAGTGTTGTAGTTACTCTGAGATGTCCAATTCTGATCATTTTACTCAAAATCTTGACCTTGCAAGCTGTCCATTGTGCATTTTTACAACAGAAGACCCAAATGTATATAACAAAAAGATAGCTGCATCAGTTTTGTGACAACCAAAGTTCCTGAGAAATTGTGTAGGTGCCCTGTATGCTCTAGATTTGATAGCCCGGACAAGTTTGAATGCTGTGGTCCAAGTAACTCAAGATCTGTTGCTGCTTTTCCAAGATTTTTCTCTATTGCTTGAAAATTAAGAAAAAGACTATGGTCATTCTTGCAGAATCCAGCTTCAGCAGCACTTAAAATACACCCAACACATGATTTTAATTATTATTTTATATAACTACACTGTCAAACAAGGAGTACCAATACAGTCACAAGAGTTTGTCACAGTGTATGAACAAGTGTTCTATTTCGCAGCTGTTGCACATATTCTTTTGCTTGATCAAAACCAGTCTTTCGTGGCTCTGGAGGAGGAGGAGGACCTTCCACCAGTTTCACAAAGTAGTGGCACCTGACTAGTTTCATGATGCCAAACATGCCTTTACCATGGTAACGAATCCGTTTCGTATATTGGCCTCTGCCTGTTAATGACTCAGCTGAAAGAAAAAAGGGGGAAGGAGAGAAAAGACCATTTAAGTCTCAGAATAAACTACTACATATCTGCAATTAAAACATTGTCTCAGTGTATTTTTCATAATTGCATAGAAAAAGTTATTTCCATTCATGATTCTCCCCTCCAGCTTACATTACTTTTAGCAGATACTGCTACAGAGAAATCCAAGGGATGAGTTTACACTCTTCAGGAGCACCAAAAAAGTGTATTTAGAAAGCATTCACGTGAATATATAATAAACAAGAAAACCAAGCAAAGCTACATAGTTAGACAGAAAGCTTGCTAACTTATATAGCTCTTACAAATGTGGTACTAATTCAATTGCTTTTCAGCACTTTGTCCATCTATTCCTGGACAAGTCTTAATAGACTTTATTTTTCCTCCACTTGACCAATACTGCATTCATTATAAGTATTTTCATTATCTACACACCCAGTCCTGCACTAGCAAATAAGCTGTCTTTATGGCAGAGGCCTGGAAGGGTCCAAAGAATTCTAATCAAATCTCTACAATCCAGGTTTCTTTAAGCTGATGAGGTGAATTTGATAACACATCGTATTTGGCAAGATAGCAGATTTTTTTTTTTCTTTGAGACTGAAAACACCTATACGTAAGTATTTCTCATGTTTCTAGGCAAGAAAACGTGGTAGCTTTTACAGCCTTATTCCATAATTATCTGTTTTATTAAGAAGTCTCCTGTCAATACCCATTTACTTGCACACAATGTTTCTAAGAGAAGCCTAAATTTCTGATTCTTCAAAGGCAGTAGTACTATTCCAGGACAAATTTCCACAACCTATGTTCACTGGCTGCATTAAAAAGTAATACCAGCTTACTTCCTGCTATCTAGTCTTTTATACTCATGTCAAGCAGCTTCCTCTTTGGGACTGTTTCCACACTGGGAACAGAAATTCCATTCACAGATGAGTATCTTTAAAAACAATGCATCTAGTCAGTGCCAGAACACCACTTGTCAGAAACCAACTATGAGAAACTGATGGCCAGAAAACCAACAACCACATTAACTTCAGCTCTGCTTAAAATAGGGAGCACATGTCTTTAATGTTTCGCTAAAGACATGTTTAACAGAAACTATCCATCCACTTCTACTGATTTGAAGCAACAGAACCTTTAAGAATAAACTGTTTCATCAAGTACATGTAAGATGGTATTTTTGTGTACAGAAATACGAAAAAACTTACCTATATGTAAATTTGATTTGAATTCCACATTGTGATTTTTTACTGCCATTTCTTGAGCTTCTAACAGAACCTGTAACAAGAAGAGATAGAAGTATGAGCAGAAACTGAAGCAATGCTGTTTCTTATCTCTGGATAAGATGGAGGAAATTGCAAGTTTAAGTCAATTACAGAAAAGTATTCTAGAGACATCAAAACTATTAGAAAATAGACATCCCTTACATAAATGTGTTCTCTGCACACAGATTGAAAAGCTTCAGGACAATTATTACACTTTCAGGGAGGAGAGGACATGGGGAAGATGGCTCCCACGAGCAATTATCAGTATTCCATCCATGGACCTTCATCTAATTAGACAGACTAAAAACAAACTTCAAGGTAGACCAAAAAAAAAAATCAACATATGCCATTCAATACTTTCGGCTAATGTGTGATTCTTCTTTGTTATTATTATGCCAGCAAACAATTTGAGACTCCTAACAACTACTGTGTATGAAAAACTTTTATGCCTTTATAGAACTCAGTCGTTTCCCTGACACTATCCCTCATCGTCTGATTTTGAAGAACCAAAACACATTGATATAGTGGACAGTGACAGATTCTGCATTATTTACTACAAACTTAACATCAAGCATCATTACAGAGAAGATGATACCCCCATGTTATTTGTTATCATTACAAAATAAAACATTCAGCACAAACTATTTCTGTATATCTTTGTCACATTACATGAATGTGGTTTGAATGTGTTCCCAGTAGACTTAGACACATCTCCAAATCTTTGGTGCTATTTATTGATTTAAATGTTTTATTGAAATTAGGAGGGTTAGAGAATACTACTGCATACCTCTTTGATCACCTTTGCTCCCTTTTTATCATTAAACTCCAACTGAGCAAGAGCCTGATCAATGGACATTCCTTTTATCTGCAATTATAAAGCATTAGTTAACTTTTGCAATTACAAATATTTCCATTCTCTTACTCAAAAAACAGTATCTAAATTACTTTACCACTACAAAGAGCAAGTCAGAAGACTTTAGCTTCCTTAATTATCATCATCTCTTCAATGCAATACCTTACATACAGTACTTCTCAACCAAATAATTATTTTTTTTTTAAGTGAAAAAAACAGCCCATTACTCTGTTTCCAAGTTCCCCTTGCCATCTACTGCTAGGCCGAAATTAGCATGAAAATTCTTCCACAGTGCATGAACTGTGTATGATCCTGGGTATGCACTGAGAGCATACTAAGATAAACAAAGCTAAACAAAATTACGAACAGCCGCTTACCTGCACTAGTGCATGCTCTTCCTCAGGACTCTGTTATTAAGATGGTGATTACTCTGACTAAACTAGGCAGGTAAGGCAAATACTGAATTTCAGAATGCAAAATTTAATTGTACTTTTGCTTACCAGTTTTGCCAGATACCACATCTTATCTTTGCTGTATTTTATGTCCCTCCGACAGTGATATATTTCCTAGGTGAAAAAAAAAGTTAAAGGACTGGTAATTTTGCTGTGAAAACAAGAATGAAGCATACGTTCACTCTGCAACACATGCTCATTCTAGGAATAAAAGAAGCATGGCTCTCCCTACTGTACCATGAACACACCAAGTCAGGCATACCTTTGCCATTTTAAACTGAAAGCATTATACAAAAGAAATAGTTAGCACACAGTGAATTTTAATACGATCTTTAAGAATTAAACTGTTATAAACAGAGGTCCCTGAAAAGCCTAGTCAGATTTTCCATCATCTTTTCCTCTCCTCCTTCCCACCTTTTGAAGCAGTCTAAGACTCACGTGCCCATACAGTCTTTATTACTCTGACATCAAGTGAACTTACTGGGATAGCAACAAAGCACTATTACCAGAATGAAACTAATGAGCTCTTCAGAAGTGAGGAGGGTTTCAAGTTTGACTGGCATTGAGAGTTGTCTCCAAAGAGCCATTTAACATTATTACTCTACCAACAGGGAACAAAAGCAGCTAGTAAAATTTAACAGCAATACAAATTTGAAGGACATGGCATTCTTCACAGAAAGAATTTGATTTGAGTTGGTTGATAACTCTTTTCATATATATTGCATTAGTCACTACAGTTCACAGCATGTATTTCTAAGTTCTAGGCCATAATGTTGATAGAAGTGACAGGTGCTCATGGTCCACAAAGCATGTCAGAAAAAAAATAAATCTGTTCTTTTGAGATGTAAATACTTTATTTTGCTGAGCAGTATGCCTAGCACAGGACAAAAGAGATTACTTCCCAATGAAGTACAATTATGAAAATGGAAATAAAAAACATCAGCTTTCAGGAATGATGAAATACTGAGTAATTCACCTAAAACTCTGCCAGGTTGATGTACAGAGAAAGCAGCATTGCTTATTCCCTCCAAAGGCGCAACACTTAACTTTCATGAATGACTCAAAGGACTTGCTTCTATTCACACTTAACTGTACTTCGCAGTTTTAAAAGGACCAGGAAGAGGAGACATGGAGAAACTGCATAAACTTGATGTTATCAAACCTAATCCCATCAGTTATGACTGCATTTTAAAAAGCTGACTTTTCAAAAATTCTCTTGCATGACCAGCAAAAGGCCTTTATTGAGGATACAGGTAACAAAAGGATTTTAGATTCTTTACTTCCGTTTATGGTTTAGCAAACACAAGTTGCTGTGCAACAGATGGAAGAGCAACAGTCCCACTGTATTGTGTTTACAAAGTGGTTTCCTAAGAAAAAAAGACTTCTGCAATCACATGCCATGCTTGACTCACATGTCCATCCCCACACAACTTCAGAACCCTCCAGACCATATCAAGCAAGCAAACCAATTACTGTGAGAGCAGACAACCTACAAACAGCTCCATTAAGAGGCAGGCCACAGTAAGAGGCAAGCATCAGACCTCAGAATTTACAAAGCAGGAAAAACAAAAACAAAAAAGAAATGGAAAGCATACACTATTATACTAACAGTAAAGAGGCACCATTAGTTCCACTACTAAAGAACGTCACGTTTATAGTTCCGTGCAAAAGCAACAATCCAGCTGTCTTCTTCCCTAGTTAACTGCTGATGTTATGTACCGGACAAGTTTACAGTGATACATCCGACAACTTTCATCTCTTTGTAGTTCAGAGAAATTTTACAAGCAGAGGAAGGTGGCATCTTTATCATGAGCAACACATTAAGTAAGCAATAGCTACACAGCAACTTGCAGTTTCAATATAACTTAGAAATGGAGAACATCCAGGAGATATTAATTTTTCCAATATCAACATGCCAAGCAAACTAAAATGTTTAAAAAACAAATGAATAAACTACCAGAGTAGTGCCTTGTGAATATATGCAGAGACAATCTGCTCTGAAACTGCTAAATATGAACAGGTAAAGAAATTCACAGGTGTATCCTTACAGCTGGTCTGCGAGGTTCTCCAGGCAGCTGCGGAGGGTAAACGATCCTGTTCTTTTTCTCCCACTTCCCAACTTTCTGTAGACATGCACTTGTGTGGATGCATGACAGAGGGAAAACACTACTGGATGCTAACCACCTGCAAGACAAAACCAGAGTCTTTGCTGCTGAACAGAAACGTTCTTGCTGTTCATTTTATCTGGAAAATTGCAAATCTACCCATCACGATGAAGAGACCTGTCACATTTGAATACTTCCAAATAAAACTGCTCAAGTCTTTCACAGTTCACACTGCAAAGGCTTTTTAATTCAACAGAAAGCTTTAGGATTCCTAAAGTATGCCAGGAACCTTAAATACATTTGTGCAGCATAAGATTTTACAGTTAATGTCCCCTGTTCATCATACTAAGACACTATTACCTTTCTGGTCTTGCGAGGAGTTCCTTACTCACATAAACAATTCACATCTTCAGTTTTCCAAGACTAACCAATACTTATTTAACTTCTAACAACAAACATTTTAACAGTAAACATTTCTACCTTTTCAAGTACTAACAATATTAGAAGTGTTTAACCACTCACCCTATCTGAAATTTGAAAGGGAAAATAATCTCAACTGCTTTCAAAATGCAATGCAATCACTGTAAGATAGCTGACAGCAAAAATACTTCTGCAGTTTTCACTCGGTTTGTTCACCTCAGAGACCAAGCTGCATTTTGCCCCCTGCTGACTGGACAGGGCAGCACCAGGCAGCCCCTCGCAATGCCAAGAAACAGCCGAGATCAAGAGCAGACACTGAGCTCTACTGAGGCTTGAGCAGCTTTGTCTGGGTTGCCAAATGGTGTAAAGCATTTTAAAAAGAGACTGACAAGCAGAACACAAATTGTTAATTTCAAGAAGGCATTGTACAAATTGGAAAGCTGTCACATTGCATCAGTAGGAAGTAGGACACTATATAAATGTAAACGTTATGGGTTATTTTTTCAGTTATTATCAAAACAATTTAGCATCACCAGATATAACACCACCTACCAACGCAGGACAATACTTGACGAGCACATGAACGTCATTTCGCAATTTAACAATGTAACCAACAGTAAGTGCTGCCCTTCACGCCTCAGCACAAGGCACGAACGCGCCTGACGGCCTGAGGAATTCCGCATTCCCTGCCTTAAGGCGCTCCAGCCGCATGTGGAGAGCAACTCTACTTATTCATTTTTGGAGAGGGAAGAGGACACAAACGCGTTACAAGAAGTAACAAGCAAAAGTTTCTATACTTCACACGTAGGGGTTTTTAAAAATATATTTTATGCTGTATGTGTAAGGCTTTATAGGCCGACTCATACACAAATAAGAAGCGAGGGCAGCCCCGAACGAGCCCCAGGCACCCGCACTCACCTCTCCGGCCGCGCCCAGCCCAGGAGCCCACGCAGCCAGGCGCCACCTGCAAGAGGAAGCAGCGGGGTGAGACGGGGGAGAGCCCTGAGAACACCAAAGGAGCCCGGGGCTAGAGGGGAGAAACCCCAACCCCAACCCCGCTCACCGGCACCCAGCGCCCTGCCCGCCGCCATCTTCCCGGCCGCGCTTTGCAGGCGGGGGGCGGGCATTTCGCGACGCTTCGCGGCGCGGCGCCCGACGGCAGCGCCCCCAGCCTGAGGGGAGAGGCGGCGGCGGGGGCGAGATGGCGGCGGGGACGGGGACGGCAGCGGGCAGGGTGCTGCCCGCCTCGCCCAACTGGTACTGCAGCCGCTGCAGCGACACCAGCGCCGACGGCCGCTTCTTCGGCTTCGCCGCCAGGCACCGCATCTGCCTGCTGGATGTCAGCAGCCCCGCCGCGCCCGCTTTTTACGGTACCGTGGTGAAGCGGGGGGTTTCGCTGCCCCCCTCCCCCGCCTCGCCTCACGGGGTGAGGGGGTTTGGGGAGGGGGATGAGGGGGGCACTGGGGAGGCTCGGGGTGCTCACGGGGCTCGCCTCGGTGTCGCTGCAGGGGAGCTGCTCGGGCACACGGACAGGGTGGGCGCCTTCGCCTTCTGCCGGCACCCCGCGCACGGCGGCCTCTGCGCCAGCGGCTCCGACGATGGCAGCGTGCAGCTGTGGGACGCCGACAGCCTGGGCCCGCTGGCGGAGCACGACCTGCACCAGGTAGGAGTTAAGAGGCCCAAACCCGCCCTTTTATACCTCAGGTCTCACCCTAAAGGTCAGGGTCTCACCCTAACCCGAGGGAGAATCCCCAGGTGGTGAAGTTAGAAGGGGTGAGTGAACGCTCCTGGGCAGGTTTTTGTCCTAGCCTTAGGTCTGTGGTGTTGTTATAACACCCTCAAGCAGTCATCAGAGCTTTGGGAGCATGCCTGTGCTTGTAGCACGTGCTCAATGCCACTCATCCAGACCCTGCCTGCCTCAAATCTTTACATCAAGTTATCATCCCGCACAGGACAGGGGTAAGAACATACACATGGACAGCTGTTGTGTCTCAGGACGCTGGCAAATCAGTCAAATGTGCAAAAGCCCAAAATAATTGAAAAAGTTTAGAGTTAACCCAACTGATAACTGGGGAGTGCTCACAGTATTTTCTGCTAGTTGTGCAGTGTTACACAATTTCTAGGTCGTGAATGAAGGCAAGCTGTTAGAGTATCCTTGTCTGTTTTCCATCCAAAAGAAACCACTGCTAAATGCACTTTGTTTTATTCTGTGCTTTAATTCTTTAAACCACCTATAAAATAAATTCAGTGGCCAAGCATACTAGACAGCCTTAAATGTATTCATTTGTCTTTCTTCAGAATGCAGTTTCAGCGTTGCACTGGTCACCCCTTGTGAAAGATTTGGTTGTATCCGGTGATGAAAAAGGGATAATTGTTTGTTACTGGCATAGCAGAAGCGACAGCCAGCAATTCTTCCCAGAGCCTCGGACAATTTTTTGTCTCACTTGTTCTCCTCATAATGAAAACCTCGTGGCTGTTGGGTAAATATGCTTTGCTTCCCATTCTCCTGAAAGATTCTTGTTTGGATATTTTGCTGCACAATTTTAAGGTTATTTTTAAGAGGTTTTGTTGGCTGTTTTTTTTCTTCTGGCATACAACAACTTAGAAATAACATTTTGATTAGCAAATGTGCAAGATGTAGAATTCTGTAACAATTCACAGGACCGGGTTTGGTTTGAAACCCTGAAGTTACTGAAAACTCATATTTCTTGAATAGACTTCACTGGTGTTTATCCTATTGTAGCTTACTTCTGAACTATCTGTAGCTTACTATCTGAATAGAGTTGTGTAGTTTTTATTAGGCCATTGTCAATCGTTGCAATTCCCGTCCTTTGCAAACCTGAGACTGTATGGAACCTGAAAGCCCTTTAGACTTCATACAGTTCTCTTGAGGGATAACAAGCACAAGAGAAGTAAGGGAATGGAAGTAACTTGTGGTAAAGAAAACATGTTCCTTTTATAAAAGCCACTGTTAATTTTTAAATTTCTGAGAGCTGTATTGCTACTAAATTGGTGTCTTTCTTGAAGCCAAATGTGCTGTGTGGTTGCACGTCTTGAAGAGAAGGCAGCTGTATGTATGCCAGTGCTCTGCTTAAGCCAGAGTTGACAGCTATTCTCATATTGCTTGTAAATTGACATCTCTATTTGTAATACGGAGATAGTGATCCTGTTAAATAGCTTGGCAGTCAGGTTAGATGATATTCCACAAGGATCCAAGAATCTAGTTTTTAATTGAAATCTCTGTTTTTAGCTACAAGGATGGCATGGTGATTGTAATTGACATCAGCAGGAAAAAAGAAATTCTTCATAGGCTAAGAGGTCATGACGATGAAATACATTGTCTGGCCTGGTGCCCTGTGCCAGGTGAAGAAAGGTTACCTGCTTGGCAAGATGAAGTCCAAGGTATGTAGAAGTGATTAATAGTTTGTGAAGTGCTTTTTAGTTCACTTAGATGTCCTTCTAAGTTCCTGCACCGAGCCTGACTGAATTTAAGAAGAGATTGGACTGTGCGCTTAGTCACATGGTCTGAACTTTTGGGTAGACCTGTGCGGTGTCAAGAGTTGGACTTGATGATCCTTAAGGGTCCCTTCCAACTCAGGATATTCTATGATTCTATGATTCTTTCTAGAGAACTGAATTCCTTATCCATAGAAAGTCAGTAAGTAGCTAATCAGAGACAACTGCTGAGTTCAATTATTTTCTGATACAGAGCAATGTATTTTCAGGTAATTTTTACAGAGCTTTGAATTTTAGAGCATAATAATTTCACTTCTGTGGTATTTCCTTCAGAAGCAGGTGAAGTTCCAAATGGGGAGCTGAGTCAAGATGCAACCACGAAGAAAGGTTGTTACCTGGCTTCAGGAAGCAAAGATCAGACCATACGAATATGGAGCTGTACTAGAGGCAGAAGTAAGTACGATTAATACTGTGAGATAAACAATAGCAATATGGGGGAAGAGCTCCTCTCTAAGTTCAGGTTTCATTTGTAACCCAATAGTTTAAAGTGTGGGGAGTGTGCTTAAAGCTTCAGATTTACAGGACTTCTTTTTCTGTCAGATTTTGATGTACAAGGTCTAGATGATCCCTTTTGGTTCCATAGGTGTTATGACTTTGAAGTTGCCACCCACAAAGAGAAGAGGTGGAGCTATTGATCCTGCTGTCAAAGAGCGTATTTGGCTGACTGTTCATTGGCCTTCTGGTCGTTCCACAGAAATTGTATCCAGCTCCTTTGGGTAAGTAGGACACACAGCAGTTTGGGTACAGACAGTAACTGTAGGTTAATTTATTCAATACTGAAGGAAGAACTGGGTAGGAAACACTGACTCTCCCATCTTTTTCCTTTGTTGATCTAGCTGGAGACAGGACGGGCCAAGAGTTAAAGTGGGAGTTCAGACTTCTAGAACAGTATTATTTGTCCCATTATTTATCTTATAATCTGAGTATCAACTGCTAATGGTACTGATTGTGGTTTTGCCCATTTAATGGGAGAAAATGGCATGTCAGTCTTCAGTGTGCTTAGGTATGGGTATCTATAGGGTCTTGTATATCTGTGTATAGGGACATGTAGCGCATGTGTGTCTAGAGTTAGTATGGCATTACTTTTACTCTTGTAGCGTGTTCACGTGTTACCATCAACAACCTGTGTTATTCTTCTGAAGTGAATAATGAAGTATACACTTTAAATTTTACAGAGGAGAACTGCTGCTCTGGGATTTGACCCAACCTGGAAAACGCAAGTGGACACTTTTAGGATCTTCAGAAGGACAAAATCATTCCCGTATTGTGTTCAATCTGTGTTCCGTGAAGCATCAAGACAAAGAGCTACTTTTTTCCATTTCAATGGATAGAGATGTAAGAACCCATTTTGAAATTAACGTAAAAATAGCAGTGGCTATACAGTATGACTGAGTGAAACTGCCCCTTTTCTGGCTGCATATTTTCTCTTAAAGTGGGTTTATCTCAGCATTTTATAACATGGCTTAAAATTTGTTCTGAGCACAGACTGTGTGTGGTTTTGTTAGTTTGTAAGATCAAGCGTTTACCATCATGGACCGAATGATTATCCCCCTCTGGACTTGAATGGTAAACATTAAATACTGAGAGCTTACCATGGTCTTTCTGTGTATGCCACTTTAATGTGGCTTTATTTTCCTTCTTAAATTCATTTATAGTACTGACTTGTACAAGCTGAAGTTTGGTTTTTTGTTGTTTTTGTTTGCCGTTTACAAGCAGCAGAGAGCCTCCTGTTTTGAGGTCAAAAGAGGACCATATTATTAAAGCATAGTCATTTTGTCTGTTCCATTACAGTCTTCCAATTATTACAGCCGTTTGTGATGTACTCCCCTGGGTGGAAATGGCATACATTGTCTTGAATTTGACCCTCTGACTCTTCCCCTCACTTCCTCTCGCTTTGTTTTTTCCGTGTCATACCGGTCACTACATTTACCATTTATTCTTCCTTAAATATTCTTTAGGTGAAGTGCTGGGACCTATCAACTCTTGATTGTAGCTGGACAATGCCCTCGCTTGGGGGATTTGTCTATAGTCTTGCCTTCTCCCCTGTGGACCCAGGCTGCCTTGCCATTGGTGTTGGGGACAGCATGATCCGTGTCTGGAATACTTTGTCCATGAGCAATATCTATGACGTTAAAACCTTCTGGCAAAGCATAAAATCCAAGGTTACAGCAGTAAGTGTGCTTTTGATTCCCTTTTTTTCTTGTCTCTTTTCTTCCTCTTATTCTGTTTTTCTCATTGAAGAATGTCTTTCACTCTGAAAAAGGTTTTTCCCAACCAAATGCATATAAAGCTAATTTATGCGTTTTGTGCTCAATTATTCTGGTATACAGTACATTTTGGAATCAAGCAACACGCTTTTAGACCTTTTAACAGCTCTAGAAACGTCCTCGCTTTTTTGTTTTTATGCACCTTTGTGATTGTTTCTTGCTTCATCCATGGTTCTTGCTCTGCTGGGAGGTTTATGACATGCACAAAGCCCAACATGGATATCTTCAGGTTGGGTATGACTAGTGATTTGCCAGAGGCTAATGTCTGGTAAAAGGTGGCAGCCTTAAAACATGGTAGTTGTTCTTGTTTGTGCCAAAAGATTTCTCATTGTCCTACAGTATCCCCCATTTCTATTTTTTAATGTAGATATCAAGTAGTATTTTAATGATTTTAGTACCTTTCGTCTTGTCCCAATAACTGATATGGGGAGAGTCTTTGATACTCATTGTGGAGTGATCAAATCAAGTGGCTATAGTTGGAAGAGTGGATATAAGAGACAGTGCTTGCTTATCAGTTTCGATGTTTAACTTTTTGTTTATTACTTAAAAATAAATTGTCTGTGGCTTGTGTAATTTTGGGTTCCTTTCTCATTTTCTTGCAGTTATCGTGGCATCCAACTAAGGAAGGTTGCTTGGCTTTTGGAACAGATGATGGAAAAGTTGGCATATTTGACACCTTTTCCAGCAGGTAAGAAAGAAGCTTTCTAGTTCATTAGTGTCAGATCTTGCTGGTATGTCACTATGCATTAGGTGATATGGTCATTCCTGAGGTATATGTTTGTATTAGGTAAGAGATAGGATTAAATTAAAAGCAGTCAGATGGATTTTCAGTGTATCTTTTCATCTCTTCATTATGTCTGGTAGCTCTTAAGTAACCTTGCTCAAATTGCATAACCATCACCTCTTGGAGGTCATCAGTCAAGGAAATCTTTAACTAGAAAGATGTTATCAGAAAATGAAGAGCAACATGCATGTGCAGTTCATCAAGACAGTTTTGTTCTGTTTCTAGTACTGTCCTACAGAAGGCAGTGTCTATTTTCACCACTGGAATACAGTGCTTTGATTATTTTATTTTCATCTGTATTTCCCTTTGCTGAAATTTGATTACCCCTTCTTCCTTATATTCCTGCCCAGTGCAAAGAACAAGCCGCCTCAGATCTCCAGTACTTACCACAAGAAGACTGTGTACACACTAGCCTGGGGGCCTCCAACTCCACCTCTGTCTTCTGGTGAGTCTTGCAATGTCTCGTGACAAAGTAGGACATCTGCACAGAGCCCACAGATGCCATGAAATTGGCACACCATCCTTTGCTTGGTAGCCATCCTTTCAAGCTACTTAGGGTGTGTTCTGCTAGAGGAATCGTTAATAGTTTTGCAAGGGAGCAAAACAATCTGTTCTAGTTTTTGAATTCCGGTAGCTTTAAAGGAAGTAAGTGGGAGTAGAGTACAGCACCTCTGCACTTATCTCAGGGTATTACAAAGAAGTAACTGCATGGGCTCTCTGTTGTAATTGTTTAGGGTCAGATATGGGTTCTGTAGCTCCATAGGTATGTTTCTACCATTCAGACTAAACAGAACAGTGCCAGTAGCTACTCTTATACAGCTTGTTTCTTTTTTCCACTGACCAAGCTTTAAAGGGAGTGTAAATATGTGAAGCGATTGTACTATGGAGATACCTAGAAATAAGGGGTCATTTCAGAGGATTCTATTGTGAGAATTTGTTGCTGCTACATCTCAGGCAATCAAAGCACTTATACAGCTTTTTAAAATAACATTTGATTTATAGTGGGAGTAATTGCTTTTGCTAAGACTAATGAACAACATAATATATTTAGTCATTTCCCCTGTTGAACAGGAGAAGGTGAACAACCCTCTGTAACTTTATATAGCTGTGCTGGAGAAGGTATTGTTTTTCAACACAACCCTTGGAAGCTTAGTGGGGAGGCAAATGACATCAACAAGGTCATCAGAGACACTAATTCAATCAAAGTGAGTATGATTTTGTCTTTTTCTATGGATCTGCAGTAACCGTGTCATAGTTTTTGTAGCCTCCGTGATGAATCTGTAACAAAAAATAAATAAAACCCTTAATCTCTACCCGTGAAACACTTTAGACAGTTTGTGTTTGCCACTGAAAGAGTCTTCTCTTCCCCAGTGTCAACATGGCACATCTGTTCCTGGAACGAGTTACTTACCTTTCTATTTTTCTTTTATAAAGCTGTACATGGCTCTTTAATTGATTTATACAGAGCTTTCCAGTTTCAACACAGCTGAAGTAATATCCTGAGTGATGTCATAGCTTAGACTGCGTGGTGGGCATGCATGGGTTAACTACCTCAATTTCTCTGGTTCTTTTGTTGCAAACATTGACTTTTTCAGTTTTTAAAATAAACATAGCAGTAAGTAAAGGCATTCATGATTCTGCAGGAGTCTATTTCCTGTTACACTTCAGCTAATGCAGATCAGTTGGGGATAGCTGACCATAACTAGCTCTTTGGTATGATTCAGTCATTTCTTAGTTGAAAGGATAAAGAAAGTGAAGTGGGTTAAGTCTTCAGTTGCTGTAAGACAGCATAAATCAACTGAAGTCAGTCAGGCTATATTGATTTATGTCAGCTAGGTTGTAGCTTCATGCTTGAGTAAAAGACTAGCTGGAAGTTAAGAGACTAGTGTCATAAGCAATGAAATAATCATTTTTAGGCATCTAAATCATAGTTGTACTGCAAGTCACTTGCATCCAAACTAGAAAGAATAGGAAGAATTACAGTAAACATTGATTTCTTTTGAAGGGTAGTAGAATTTTCTTAGAAAGTCTGGGGCTTTCTACGGAGCATAAGGAGAATTGAGTGTTAATGTCTTATTGGAATCCAGACAGACTTCCTTTGAGACATTTCACTGAACTGATAAAAATAATCACTGGTACTTGCATCATTTTGCAGTCCTTCTTAATTGCTTGAGCTTATGTCACTGCTACATCACTCAACCAGCAGTTTTGTGACTTCCATTTTGCAGGGTAATCGTAACTCTGTCCAGTTGCCAGTCTTCTGTTAAATGCATCCAAAAGAGACTTAAGAGTTTGTGTGATTGTTGGTAATAGTTGTGTCTTCTTTCCACAGCACAAACTGCCTGCACGTACAGAGATTAGCTGGAAACCAGATGGAAAACTCTTGGCTCTTGGCAATGAAGATGGGTATGTTTTGTTTGTAGGTTAAGGTTGTGTATGTGCTGATCCTGAGTCGAGTCACTCTAGTGAAGCAAAAGTATTTTTGTTATTCTGGTTTGTCTCTTGATTCATTGCCTGTGTGCCTGAATTGTGATAATACAGCATTCTTTGCTGATGTTTAGTGTAGTTGCTTGTGACATTGAGAATCCACAACATCACGTTAGGTCATTTTTACAAGGATCTACTCTGATTGAAACACGCTTTCTTGTATATTAAACCAGGGTGTGACTTGAATCTGGAAAAGAAAAACTAATTCAGCTATTCTTTTTCATGGATTGTCGTTTTTATGCAGGATAACAACAAGAAAAAAATCCCATTTTCACTGACATAAATTTCTTATGTTGCTGTTCTTACATTTCAGGTCAATTGAAATATTTCAGGCTCCAAGCTTGAAGCTGCTCTGCACTATCCAGCAGCATCATAAACTGATTAACGCTATTCGATGGCATCACGAGCATGGGAGCCAGCCAGAGCTGAGTTACTTGATAGCTTCAGGCTCAGTCAATGCCACTATTTATGTGCATAATCTGAAGAGTGTCGTAGGTAATAGATTGCAGATTATATTCCAAGTCTTGGCATCTTGATTTGCTCTATTCCTGGTTTGTATTGCCAGCCATACTTATCATTTTCTTTCTTCTTTCAGAGAACACTTCAGAAAGTCCTTTGACAATAACAGAGCCTTTTCGAACTCTGTCGGGGCACACAGCTAAAATCACAAGTCTTTCGTGGAGTCCCCACCATGAGGGCAGACTGGTATCAGCTTGTTATGATGGCACTGCACAGGTATTGCTCTGCAGCCACTCAGAAATGTATTTGTTTTGCTTTCAAATCATCCATTCTGCAGTATTTTAGAACCCAGCTGAGTGAACAACAAAGCTTTTGTGAACTTAACTTGCTTAATGAGTGCATGTTTTCCCCTGGCAACAATCTCATTCTGGATAGCTGAAAATGAGAGATACATTTTGCCTTATGTTTATTTCTGGTTTTCCTATACGCTGCACAAATGAGAATGTTGCAAAGAAGGCTTTTAGTGCAGACTTATGAGAATTTGTAGAGAGAAGCTGGTCAGTGAATGTGTTTTTGTGCCTCACAAACTGATTTCTAAGTCCAGTTGTTACTGTTTTCGTATTAGCATTTTTGGATCTTTTAAAAAAGAAAGATATTACACAGATCTATCACTGCGAACAAAGCAAGCTCTTGAGTTTTCTCCATTTACCTATCGGTAACTGAAATATATCTGCAGCTCACTAATAGAGAAGATCATAAAATGCAAATCACTGAAGAGGAAATGCAGGGTTTTAAGGGAAGATGAGACTTCTTGAGTAATTGGGTTTCTTTCTGGTTCATAAGGTATGGGATGTTATGAAGGAAGAGCCACTCTGCAACTATCGAGGTCACCAGGGCCGGCTACTGTGTGTGCAGTGGTCACCAGTGGATTCAGATTCTGTTTATACTGGAGCTGATGACTTTTATGTTCACAAGTGGTACATCTCAAAGCAGGAACATACACGGCCACCTCAGGGTAAGTATATTCAAACAAAAGATCCTTTCCTGAAGAGGATGTGGGAGCTGGGAAATAGAGGGTTGCCATGAAATAGTAGTAAAGTTTTTATGTTAAATTCAAGCCTGCCTGCTACCCCTTCAGGGGTAAACTTTCCAGTTTTAAATAGAGTCGTATCCCTATTGGAAAACTAAATGTTGATTTTGGGAGGCAGACAGCTTGTACACTAAAAATCTCTACAAATAATATGAAAGTAATTTTTGTGACCTTTATAGGCAAAAAAAGTATAGAATTAGAGAAAAAAAGAAGTATCCAACCAAAAGTCAAAGCCAAGAAGAAGAAAAAGCCTATAGGAAAGAGTCCAGCCAAACAGGATCTAAGTGATGTCGCGAATGGAGATGAGAGCGTGAAGGATGTATTGCTAGAGGAAAATGGAGTGTCAGACCATGAAGGAGAAAAAGAAGCTCGGGAGATGGAGTTGCCTGATAAAGTTTCCACACCTGGTAATAATTAAATTGTCTTAGTTTAATGGTTCCCAGACTGCTCAGCCTTCAGAGCATCAGCAAGCTTAGTACTTTCATGCAGGATTTTCTCATAATGTTGTTTTATTGAAGTAGTCCACTTGAAGGAAATAGGAAAGGTGTTCTGAAATCATAATTTTATAAACTAGTTTGGGACTATTTGTCTTTAACTAAGAGATTCTGGACTAGTGAACAAAATTAACCATGTCTTGAAAAAGCATCATTTTTGGTCAGTGTTGCCTTCTGATGATAAGTCTTGTAATGATAGACCTTCATTAGTGCCTTCTGACATCTTCCTTAGCATTCTGACAGTTCTGTAACATTTTCTTCTTATTTACTTTCCCTAAAATACTATTCAGTTGTATGGCAAAGCAAAGCTTATTTTCTTTGTATTTTTAAATTATTGTTACAGAATGTGTATGTCAGGTATCTTTCTATGGGTTTTTCCTTTTTTAATCACTTTTTAATCACTTAACTCCACAGCATCCAAGGATGTATCTTCATCTGCATCTGAATCTCCATTCAGTTTGTCAAAGCCTTTTGTTACCCAGAAAGCCATTCCCGTGAAAAAAGATCCACCTAAAGAGAAACCAAGTTAGTATGTTTCAGATTGCTTTGATGTGGGACTGCTAGAATGGAGTTTGGCTGTAGCTTCCCTTCTTAATAAGACACCAAATAAGTGGTGAAGAAAGAGAGAATCTCTTAAAATCTCTGTAATGTTTCAGTTTTCTTCTTTTATTTTCCCTGCTTGTCAGGTCAATTGGTGTTTAATGTGGGCTGAGATCCTGCCTTGTAGCTGCTAGTTCTTGTCCAGGCAAGATGGGCAGAAAAATATGCTAAATGATCAGTGTTGAAATGTTAGAATTGTCATAAAAGAGATGCGGGTGGCATTTGAGAATGCACTTTTTATTTTCATATTTAAGGAACAGGGTTGTTGTTGAGTATTTCTGAGAGCTCTGCTGTAGACTTGTAACTGTGCAGCATGGACTAAAATGTGACTGATTTTTCAGTTTTTGATGCCTCTCTGAAGAAGAAGAAGCCTCGCTCTATTCTACCCTTCACCACATCCATGGATCACAGATCAAAAGATGAATTGCATCAGGACTGCTTGAGGCTGGCTACATGTCTGAAAACCAAAGGTATTGATCTTAAACTGCAGCTTCCTCCATCTGATCAACTGGGTAAAATACTTAGGGGGTAACTGCTCCAAAGTATTCAGAAGTAAGTGTCTAAGGACTTGATTTGGACCAGTAGGCATTAACTTTTGAGTATTTTGGCCTTTGTGCAACTGGTTATAGCCTCCTATCTCGCTTCTCCTGAAGTGTTTCAGCATTCTGTAGATGCTCCAGACAAGTTTTGTGTAGGATCCTGTATAGTGGAGGTAGGGGTAAAATTGTCTGTAGAGCTGCAAAGATTTTTTTCACCTTCAGAAGCACAACATGTGCAGGAGAAAATAAGCCATGTGGGAGATGTTTTTATTCTCACGGTGTGATTCCTTAGACTCAGCGAATGCAAGGGAACTTGCTACATTTGATTTGGAATAAACGTTCTGCTCACACGTAGTCCTTCTAATCAAGCTCAGGCACGAATTCTGAGTAATGATCTGTGAATGTGAGCACGTGTTAAATCCCTGTATGTGTAAGAAAGTGGAAGACACGGATATTTGCTATAGTTGAGTGTAGTGGAGCAGAACAGTGACTTGGCAGGTCCTAGTTCCCTGTGTTGTATCAAATCTTGAATGTTCATTCTCTTTATCTGTGTTAGATCATAATGAAGAAGTGTCCCCTGACCTCGGGGATCGTATCCACCTGGGGCTCTTCGCAGACAGAGCTTCTCTGCACAACATGATTGATGTGGAAGGTAAATGGAATAATGAGACCAATTTGACACTGTCACTGTGACATTCAAGGAGAAAACAGATTAGGAAAAACGCTTGAATTTTCTTTACTGCAGAGCACAGTGTAGGTTTGAGAATGCAGGTCTTTGTGAAGAGAACAAAAGACTTGCTTTTCCCAAACAGTTTTTATGGCTTTCAGATGCAAATCTGCAATGTCTTATGCCAGAACAAATTCATTTTTGCCAATGTATTTTGCCATGGTGAATAACACTGTTGCACTCACACCAATAGGTAACTAGGAAGTGTGTTTACTTCAAACAGGAAAATATCACTTGGAGAATGGACATCCTGAGCTCTATCAGCAGCTCATGTTGTGGAAAGGAGATATGAAGGGCGTCCTCCAGGCAGCTGCTGAGAGGGGAGAGCTGACAGACCAGCTGGTAGCAATCTCGCCTATGGGTATGTTTGTTCTTGTAACACATAAGTAGGTTGAATTAGCTGCTAAGGGTCACTGCATTATGATTTCATGAGTTGGAAACTCATGGTTTTTCTGGATTGGAAAGAAGTTGCTTCTTTAACTGCATGATGACAAAAGTCAAACACAAATCCTGCTTATGACAGAGGAAAAGACCTGGATGTTCCCACAAGCACCCTTAGGTTGCTGTAGCAGAAAATAAAGTTATTTCCTTTGGGACTTCTCAGAGGAGCAGGCATTACTTACAAGGATAAAGTTGGTACTTAAAGTTGGTAGCAGTCCCTCTGGCTTGCTGTTGGTTTAAATACCTTTTTGTGATATTGAAGTCTTACAGTTGTGTTCAAGTCCAAGCTTTTACCTGTCCCGTTTCCTCAGTAGTTTGTATTAGAATGATTAAAAAACAACAACAAAAACACTAATATGGGGCAGAGAAAAGTTACATGTTGAAGAAACTAGTGATTATGTCAATCTTGCAGGAATTCTTTCAGTCTTAAAACTTTGCATGTAAATTGTATTGCCTTTTCTTTTGCAGTTGGATATCAGGCTTGGGTTTGGACAGTAGAAGCCTTTGCAAAGCAGCTGTGCTTTCAGGAGCAATATGTGAAAGCTGCCTCCCATCTCCTGTCCATCCATAAAGTATATGAGGCTGTTGAGCTCCTGAAAGTGAATCATTTTTACAGGTTGTTGTATATTTATATTTAGATTTTTGTTACTTTCTAGTGGGGTAGATTTCCTTTGATGGTTGTGGGTTACAGCCATTGTGCTGTAACATCTGCACCTGTGGGAGCTGCATGAGAGTATTTATAGAGAAGTTACCAACTCTACATACAAGTATGATGTAAAAAAAATTACCTGCTGCGCTACATATTAATGCTTAAGACACAATAACTGAAAAAGAATAGAATAAAACAACATAGTTCTTGTTTACTTTGAATTAAAACATTTTCTGTAGAATGTTCCCCATGGTGGATTGCGTAGCCAGATACAGGTGTTAGTGTTCTGGAGCTTCTCAAAGTGTTGGGTGCTTTTTAAATAAGATAGGATCTCAGATGTAATGGCATTGGTTTTCTGATCTAATGAGACCAGTTTTCTTTTTTGATCTTGGACATAAAATACTTGAGGCAGTTTCTTTTTAAGTGCAAGATAAACTTCCCTTACAAAAGGAGGAGGTATTTGGTTTTTATACAGTCAATCAACTTTTCTGTCCGGTTTCTCTTATGTGCATTAGGGAAGCAATTGTAATTGCTAAGGCCAGGTTGCGTCCAGAAGATCCAATTCTGAAGGATCTCTACACCAGTTGGGCAGCTCTGTTAGAGAAAGATGGTCATTATTCCATGGCTGCCAAATGGTAAGTGTTACTGGTAAGAAGACAGAATTGTTTTAATACCTGAAACGCTTGACTTTTTAGCAGTAGGATCTGATGACTGGCCTGTTCATTATTTGTCTAAGGTGCTTTCTGAGGCTGATCTCACTAAACTGACTCCCTGTAGTGCAGTATGAAAAGAAGCGCCAGGGGGCAGTTCAGAGCAGAAGGCCCAAATTCCATGCTATAGTGCAGCCACCTCTTCTCAGAGACATTAGTGGAAGTCTTGGAAAACTCGTCTAGACAAGACTAAAATTAAGATGTATGCAAAAAATCTGTATGAGCATTCTAACCTTTCTACTGGAAATATGCAGTGCAACAATTGACTTGAGTTTCTTGTTGCCTTAGCTAACATCCTAATCAGTGGGTCTCCCTCCTCTAATTAGAATGTTTCAAATTTGTGACTACCAAAATTACTAATTATGCTTGAAATATATTGGCTTGGACTACTGTAGTGGATTTGCTTGATGTTGATTGTAGCTCTGGCATTTTTGGAGTGTTTACACTTCTGAAAAGATTCACCTGGAATCTGGACAAATGCACTAATTTTTGTCTCCTGAATCTGTTTATTGTATTACTCTTCTAAGCCATGCATGGTGTGTGTCCCACCATCCAGACTAGTAGGATGTGTCACTTTCCCTCTGGAGCTTTGCATTGGATCAGGCACCTCTGTCTCTAGCAACCTTTTTTAAAGCAAAGTGATGAGAACTCTGACTCCTTGTGGAAAATAAAAGTTTATCTTCATTTGTAAGTTTGTGCTAGAACTATTGCAATGCAATTTCTAAGTGGTATCTTAGTACTAACCTGAGATCAATTTGCTTGTATCTCTTCAGTTATTTGGGAGCTTCCTCACCCTATGATGCAGTTAAGGTGTTGGCAAAAAAGGGGGATGTGACATCCCTTAAAGCTGCTGCTGAGCTTGCTCTGATATCTGGAGAGGAGGAATTGTCGGCAAGTTTGTCTTTCAGATGTGCCCAAGAGCTGCTGTTATCCAGAAACTGGGTTGGAGCTCAGGAGGTCCTTCAACAACAGAAAACATTATTTGTGAGTCTGGTTCTTTCCTTTCTACTTCATTTTAGCATTGTCTCTCTCCAGATTAACTTGATGAACTTTGCACCTCTGCCCATATATTAACAATCCACAGGAAGCCCTGAATGGGTTTTGCCTCAAAATAATTGGTAAAAGTTTGTGCGATAATACTTAAATAAATAAATGCATATTTGCAGAGGAAAAGGACATGTGGTGGAGAGGCACATAGGCTCTGTGCATATTAGGTATGTAAGAGAGGTAGTGGAGGTTTTTCTGTGTTTTTTTTTTTCTTTTTTTTTGTTAATGATGTATTGCATTTTCTTACTCAGATTCATTTTAATTTATTTATTATCAGTACATAATACTAATCAGAAGAAAGAGGTAAAAGAAGGTGTTCAGTGTCATTCAAGTCATTCAGAATGAACGTGCTCACTGTAACTCCATCTGCTATTACAGGTTTAATCCAGGAATTCATTGTTCTATGGATTGTGAAGCAGAAGGTTACTTTAACTCATTTTGAGGCTTCCTTCTGACCTTAGAGCCTCTCAGTCTGTCAGTACTTTTCTTTGGTAGCTGCTGTTGTGAAGCACCATCACGAGCAAGCTGCTACTAGCCACATTTTTAACTTTGACCACTTCTGTAGTCAGTAAGGGATTGTTTTTCATTTTGCAACAGCTCAATGCTTTTTTTTTTCCCTCTTTTTAAAGGGGCAAAGACTTGTTTTCTGCCTCAACGAACTGCTTTGCAAGTGCCTTAGTGAAAGAAATCCCTGTAACCGAAAGAGCCCTGTGCCTCCCTGTTACCACAGCTGGGAGCTGAACAGAGACGCTTCATTTTTTGACATGGTGATAGAAGTGTGGCAGAAGGAGCTGGGCATGAACACCACTGAAAAAGCCACATGTGCACAGGAGCAGCTACGGAGTATTGAGCATCCTCCTTCTACCAGCAACACCCACCCAAAGCAGGTAATTGGACTGGATCTGTATACACACTAAGCCTCACTACAGCATGTGCAGTAAAACACAGACATATTGTGGTGCTGGGTGAGCTGTTTCCAGGGGACTGCTTCCTGCATCCTGCTAAAAGATGAGGTTATAGTCAGAGAGGTAAATGATAGGCACCTGTGGCAGCTTCCATATCTACCAGTTTGTTTCTGCACAGGGTAAGAACTCACGTATGGCATCCGTGGTGAGCACTGACGTGCTGGCTGGGTGGGACTGACTGGCATAGCTGACTATTCTCAGCAGTGATACGGGGTTTTGTGTAGAACTATCAGGAGAAGCAGGAGTGCTTGTCAAAATATCCTGGAGTTCAGAAAGTCTGGTCATAAACTGGTGCTCCTGCAGCTCTCTGACCTCAGTGAGTCACTGACTTTTGATGTACAAATTAGTAGGACACATGCAAGCACAGTGGCAAGTCATGTAAAAGCGCTCTGATTTCCTACATAAAGGAAACTATGTAAATTGCATCATTGTGAAAATTGCTTTTGAGTCAGTCATGTGCTTCTGGACTTTTCTATAATGGTTTTAACCAGTGAGTCATTCATGCTTAGCAGTAAAATTATTCATTGTGCTCTCTGCTGCTTCCTCTAGGTGCTTTTCCATATCTCCCATGACCTGACCCTTGCAGCACTGAGCTATCAGGCTGCTGCTTGGAATGAAGCAGTGAAAAGTATTCTTGGTGCTGTGACCCGCAGCTACGATGCTGGCAATTTTATTTTGATGCAAGAGCTTTGCAGTATCTTCCTTCCTGAAGGTAAGGCTTTTCTGGTACATCTCCTGGCACTGACAAATAAGGGGACCTTCAGAGCTATGTGCCCATTTTTATTACTAGGCATAGTATCAGGAGTAAAATATTCCTATATATAAAGAAACCCGTGACTTTTGGAAGTGTACTGCTCCCACGCTGAGTTTGTTTAATTGTCTATGGAATCGGGGTGGTGCAAGGGCCACTGGGAGATGAAAATTCCTGATTGGAAGGAAGCTCAGCAACATCACTCAGTGTTGGTAACCTTAGAAATCCAGCATGCTCTGATCCGTAAGGGCGATGGGCACACGGGAAAGCTGTGTTCCTCTCATAGTTAACAAATCATCTGGACTGTTCCTCTCTTTCTCCTCCAAAGCATGTCATGCATTTCTCCTGCAGCTCTTGATCTTATAATCTATTTGTAATCTTTTTTTTTGGTCATTATTAGGTTGTGAGAACCTGAGAGACAAACTGGACAGCACAAATTCTCAAAGCATGGCTGCTTGCAGAAGTTTAGAGGGCTTCGCAGCTTATGGACTGCTGTATGACCTGTGGTGGAATCCACCCAAAGATTCCACCGTCTTGCAGAAGACTGGTTTGGATCCTGTGCTGTGTCCCAGTGAGCAGCCAGCTCTTGAGCAGAGTTCCGTATCAGGTCCCTCCTCTCCTGAAGATACTCCTGATCAAACTGCAACTAAGATGGATGAAAATCTCAGCAGTACAACTGAATTTCAGAGATGTGAGCCAGAAAGTGACTCGAGAACTAGCTCAGTCGATTTGGTAGACAGACAGTCAAAACTGAATGGCTGCAAAGTGCTTCTTTCAGAAGCGACTGCTGCTTTACAGAACACGCAGAGAGATATAGCTGAGGTCCAGCAGATTTTAGCAGACATGATACACCAGCATCAGCAGCAGAGGAACAATCTCCAGGAAAGCACAAATGGAAGCATCCAGGAAGGCAACGTGCCGCAGAGTTCAGAGAATGAATCAGATAAACCAAGCTCTGACAAGAGCCAGATAAACGGGTAAGCTTTCAGAAAGTGAACAAAGGGTTTGAAAGGTGTTGCTTTTTTTGTTTGTGCAGTGGGTTTCTTGTTTAGCTCAGATGCCCTCTAATCTCAAGCTCATTGCCCAGGGACACTTTAACATACTACTGCTCAGAAGTTTTGCATATCCCAGGGGCACCACCACATGCATGAATTTAACACAGCTCAACAACTTTCTGATGCACAGGCTGTGTTGATACAGTGAGTAAGCAGGGCAACTTGAAAAAGGGGAGGATAATGAAAAGGACAAACCGTGATCTAACAGCGCTGTCTCTTTGCTGAACAATTATTTGGGACTTCAGCAAGAAAGAACTAAAGGGTGTGCATAACGCTTGTCTAACGCTCCTGTGCTCTGACTACAGTAGGGAGGCTGTGTGGTCATTTAAGCCAAACAGTAATTCATTACATTACACCTGCTCTTTTCTTGACAGTAAAGATGAAGTAAAGGAAACGATTACCCTCCCTGAGCTAACGAAGCGACTTCTAGAAGCAAAGCAGAAACTAGCAGAATTTCCAGACAGTTTAAAGGTAAGTTTTCAGAAGAGGTAGTATGGTTCTGAAAGAAGACAGTCTTCTCGTAAGGGCAGTCTCACCATATAATGCTCCCCACACCCTTTTTTTTTTTTTAACATAAGGTAAGGAGCAGTGACTCTGTGCCACAGTTGCACTCTAGGTTTGTAAGACAAAGATGTCTTACTCTGCTGTCTAAGTGCTAGTGTAAATACAGGCTGGCTCACGTACATGAGCAGGATCATCCTCCTTTTCACTGAATTGATGCTATGGCAGCTTTAAGAGTTAACAGGTCTCCATGCTGTTGGAGAGTGCAGATAAAGCTTCTCAATGGAATATCCTGACTGACACTTTCTGATGTGTTTTAGAAGTAATCCCTTGATACTTACTATGTTTGCAAAAACAGGTTTGATAGTTGAGTTTTGAATGTCAAGTATAAAATGACCTGTATTGATCAGAAACTGCTGAAACCACACCATGTGCTGCAAAACCATGTCTCCTTGTCTGCCTTGTCCCCTCTCTTCTCTAGTCTGTAAGATAACTAAAGGCGCTATCACTGCGATTACCTAAGGCAGCAAACTTGCTTAAATGTGCTAATGTCCTAGAAGAACAGGAAAAAAAAAATCCATCTGACTCCTGACTGTCTCTTCCAAGGCTACTGTAAAGCAGTTTTTAGAGCTGGCTGCTTGAATGTGTCGAACTATTCTAACTGAAAGAGCAGACATCACTTTACCTTTTTTTTTCTTCCAGTTCTATCCCTTCCCTGATGTGCTGGAGTGTTGCCTTGTACTCCTTCACATGGGATCCCAGTGTCCTCCTGAACTCCGTGAACAGGCATTGGATCTCCTCCGTAAACACGGTAGTGCTAACGTTTACAAGAAGGCTGGTGGGAAGTTCTTGACATGACGTTTTGAGACCAGGCACAGCTCCTCAGAGCTATCCTCAATTGCTTAACACCAATTAACACCGCCAAGGCTGTTCTTCCTTCAACTGAAGGTTTGTTTCTATGGATGTGGTTACTGATGACTACGGTTTTGGAAAAAAATACGAAAAAATCAGGTTTATATACAGACACTCATGGTCATCGACTACTACTAAAGAGACTGTTAGAGAACTGAAAAGCAGTAGACTGTGGCCTTGAAACAGTAGAGGATTTTTGTATTATCTTTTTTTATTTGTTGAAAGTTAAGCCAAGGAAAGCTCTTGGAATTTATGTTTAAGAGAAACAGTTTTGAGCAGCTATATCAGTCTTTCAGCAGAGGAAGAATAGGAGCCACCCTCCAGAAAAAAATAATGGTTCCTTTAGGTAGTCTGACCCTCCAACCAGTATTGTTCTTAGGAGCATTGTGAATTATTTTCCCTCCTCTAAATAAAGTCTTCTACAAGCAGGAATTGGCATTTAATTTGATGAATATAAATTGATGTCAATCAAGGGTGAGTGCATTTAAAAACAAGTCTTTTTGTTGTTTTAAGTACAGCATAAATTGAACATGCTAGATAGAGCAAGTATTGTGTGCTATGACTTAAACCGTGTGGAATGAAGCCAGGTATACAAGTTAAAAGGGAAGGCAAGAGTTGTTACAGTTGATTCCAGCATAACTGGCAAGAGATAAGGGACTTTTCCAGGTCAGGAAAAGCAGAAGTACCTGTTCCTGAAACTGTTTGTGCCCTAAACTTTTTTTTTTTCAACTATAGCAAGGGTAAAATAAGGTACTAGTAAATTCTGTAAAGGTTCTGTAACTTACAGTGTCTAAAGTGATCCCAGATTATGGAGTCTTGAACATGCAACATATTGACCAGTCTTAGAGCCTACTTAAGGTTTCTCCCATCTTAACATAAAAACTAACTCTTCCTGAAAAAGCAAGCCTGTGAAAGCCTTAGTGAATATAGCATCTTAGTAATTTCTAGAAGCAACGTAAGTACAGCAGAAAAAAAAAAGTCACTGTATAGGAGGACATAGATTTAGAAAGTTGGTAAACAAAAGATTTCTCTTAAAAAAAATTATGATCAGGAACTGTTCTAGATTCACATAGTCAGAACACAGACTTGACACTGATACATTTCTTGCTTCAAGGCAAGTACAGCATCAAAACAGTTCAAATAGCCGTAGACAGAAGTAAGGGGTTATACGAAAAGAGATTAATCCACCTGCAGAATAAGCTGGTGATTCAGATTTGCTTAAATTCTCTACCATGCACTTAAAAACCAGGAGGGGGAGCTACTGCTTAACCAAACAGCTCTCCTATTAAGCAAAACAAGTAGTCAAGATGAAGCAGTAGAACTTCACAGGAGCAAAATGGATTTGTCACTTCAAGTGGCTAAGCTGTGCTGAAATAGGCCATAGTACTGCTTCCTGTGCTGACAGAAGAGTAAAAAGGGAATGAGTACATTTAAACTCAAAATTACTGTATAGTGGCTGACAAAAGTTAAAAGCCTGATTTTATTAAGAACTACTGCAGGCAGCATATCATAAAGAGTAAAAGAAGGAAGAAACTTGAGCATCTTCCCTCTTTAGGATGCAGGTAGCACTAATTCAGCTTACAAATCCTCAATTCTGAGGAATTTTAGTACTTGATGGAAAATCCAAAACAAAGCCTGTTTTAAAAAAATTTATTTTACAAAAGTTAAAAACAAGTACTATTTACAACCATTTTAAATACCAGCTCTAAACCGTCACTCCTAAGTAAGAGTTAAGCTTGTTTAAAATGCATTTTACGTTTAAGATTTTTTTTAAAAAAAGAAATGCCATTACAGAGCTGTTGGGGAAGAAAAAACTATTATAGACTGGCTTGCATTTTAAAAGTCAGAATCCCATACTCTTCTTCCATCCTCTAGCTGCTTTTCAGCTGTTTATAATGAAAAGGAAGGAAGCTACTTTGTCACTTGTTAAGCATATAGTAAAACTGGGGACTGGAGGAGTAGGGGAGAAGAGGGACAAGCGTTTACCCATCTGCTGAACTAGCTGTGGTAGAACAAGAAGAATAAAATTTGTAGGTCTAGCTGAAGGAGACTGAAGTCAGAATATTGGTCCTGTCAAGAGGTCCTCGAGCAAAGGTTAACTTAATCTACTTCCAGAACAGTTTATTAATGCCTGTAAGAACTAAGCCAAAGCTCAGCATGAGTCAAACCTGTACCACACAGAATTAGAAACTATGGAGCGGATCAAATCAATTCCAGTAATATCCATCCCCAGTGTTGTTAAAGCAAATCTCTGAATAGTTTTAGCTGCAAGGATCATTTTTAATGTTATCCTTTCCGAAACCTCCACAGTGATCAAAGGGAACAGTTTCCACAGGCTATACAAAGATAAAAGAAGCGAACCATGAGGTGAAGCTGTGACCCTCACAACATGCAGAAGTTTTAAAATAAGCTTTCTAAAGCACAATTTGCAAATTCATGTGCATGTCTATGTCCGATTTCATTGGATTTCCAGACCCTTAGCTTTACTGGATATTCTACTCTGAAGTCTTCCTTGCAGATTCTGTACAGTATAAAGAGGGAAAAAAAGAGGTATACACAGTAGTTGGTGTCTTTTGCCCTTCGCATTAAAAAGATGGCAAATCACAAATGCTGGCATTAGGAATTCAGTCAACTCTCTCCTTCTGGTTTTCAAATGAAGATGCAGCTCTTCATTCAGCAAAACTGAAGGCCTTCTGCAGACTGTATACTTTAGATGCCCTTTGAAACACGCTTAGGGAAAATAGTTGAGGACAGCAGCTGCCAATACAGTAACCATGTCCTGCTGAGGTGTACCCACTTGTCATGGCTGCATGTTGTTGATAATAGCCAAAATACTCATTTTTTCTTGGGCTGAGTCCACATCTTCATTTTGTTTCTGAGCCACTCCTGTGCCAAGGCCATACAACCGCCCACAATACTTTGCATCATCGATTGTATCCTCAAAAAACAACTGCAGAGGGGAGAAAAAAAAAAAGAGAGGCACAATTAAACAGTTCCTGTTCCTTCCTAAACTGGAAAGCACCTAGCCTTAATCAAGGAGTTTGTCTGAAGTCAGCCACCTCTAGGATTCAGCAAGGGAAGTAAAATAAGGACTGGAAAGAAGTATGAATGGAAAAAGTGTGTGCAAATATCAACACTTCCTGTTACTGACATTTTGAAGTGTGCCAGCCACAAGGCTCAAACAAAAACCAAAAATGCCAACGACATCAGTTCTATTGGCACTGATGGATAGGGACTAGAAAAAGAACCAGAAAGAAGAATAACGCACTACCTCCTTCATTCTGAAGAATGCCATTCCTGTGAGAAGAGAATCTGATCCTGCCTGGTGCTGTCGTCCAATTCGCTGCAAATCCAGCTGATCTGCCACCTCTTGAAGGCCGCCCTGCAGTGAAAACAGACCAGACTGTTTTGTACAAGCCCTGTCTTACCAAGATTGCCACACTTCTCCAAAACACAAGTTTCCAGCAACACACATGCCAACTGTGAGTGAACTCAAATGGTGACAACCATTCAAGAATGTAAATATACTCTGCCTAGATTTAGGTAGCTTGCTTTCCTGCTGCAGATACTCGAGATGACTGTGGGTATATATTCAGAGATTACAAATGCTGCACCTTTCCCACCCTTTCCTGAAACAAGGCTGTGATTCAGTAGATAAATTACTTTCTACCCTCTGAGTGTCTACCAGATAATGAAGTCATGCAGTAGTTCACGTGAAACAAAATGCCCCACCTTGCATAGGAAAGAATAAAGGATACTGAATTACAGCTGTCCTCTGAAATTAGAGATACACAAGGTTATGCAAAAGTCCCCTACATGATAAACATACTGGTATGCTTAAAACTGGGAAGGCAGCATCTGCTAGATACAAACTTAAGCCTAGGTGTGTATGTATGGCTATTCGCTTTGATACGCACTCCAGTTTAGAGATGGTATGGGTAGCAGTTCTGTCATTTGCCTTACTGTCCGTTTGCAGCACTGATATCTATCTATCCGTCGCTTGTTTGCTGGGGAGATGCCAGTACCTTGAGGTTTTTGCAGCTCTTCATTAAGTACTTCACATCGTAGATAGATGGAAAGAAAAGGTTCAAGATATGGAAAAACTCGTGTTCCTCTTCTGGCAACCTGGAATCTGTCAACAACTTCACCATGTAGCCAAAGTCATAACCACTAAAACCAAAAACATACAGGAACTAGATAAACAGGCAGCACCTGTACTCATCCGTACTAATACCACATTTTTCACAAGAAAGTAGTTTTCAGTAGTTTGGAGTTTGCTTTCTAATATCCTATAGTTTTCAAACCTTAACATAATCTGATATTCATAAAACTCCAGGCAACATGGAAAAGCAGAAAACCCTCTGAGGAAACCCTCTGAGCATCAGTGATCACCTCCAACCTACCTGTGAAACGACAGCCATTTCACACTGTCACTAAGGACGACCCCTGAAGTCATGAGCAACTCAGCAAAATGCAGGGTATCGATCCCTTCTTCTTCGTGCTTCTGGAACTGCAGCCCAGAGCTTGCAAGGAGGTCTATGGAATCCTGAGAGTACATATCTTCCCTGAAGGAGAAAAGCAGCTTTTTCAGAAAAATTCCCCACCCACTGCATTTTGAAAAACTGGAGTGACCATTAGGCTGTCTCTCCACGTCTGTGTCTCTAGACAATTCATATCACATCACTTTCAATATCATCACTGCACCTTCCTAAATATGTAACAAGCTAATCTGCAATCTTAACTGGATTGCAGTTGAGATTTACACTCCCTTTAACAAGATTCATTCCCTTTAACAGATACGACAATTCCACCGTTTTTTCTTTAGATGCCAGTTTATATTTTAGCATGGATCTGCAGAGAGATTTTCCTTTTTGCTGCAAACAGTATATCCATTTCTTTTTAGCAGAAAGAGATAGATTTAATTGTTTAAATGATTACATAATATATAGAGACAGGTAGATACAGAAAGTGTACAAAGCTTAAGGCACACAGAATTACTGGGCACAGGCTATTTAACAAGGGAAAGGGTATTAAGGACAGCATTTTAGCATGGCTTTGACTTCCAGAAATATTGCAACTCCTGTCATGCCAAAAATAGGGCCCCATTAAATCAGTATTAGCATCTGAATTGTTATTGCCCAAAACCAACCACTGATGACGAACATACAGGCTTCTGCATTTCCCAAAGACAAGCACCACTTCGGCAGCAGAGAGCAGACTACTCCCTAGAAGACTTACGTGAGGTTGAATTTGAAGTTAAACTGCCAGGTGTTGATCCCAGAAGGATATTCTCCTTTCTCATTTGTGAAAGTGAGGCCCAGCTGGATAATTTTCAGAAGGTCAACATTGCACCGAAGGAGCTGATACTGATAATCGATGGAGCTGCGGAATTCACCAATCGGCCTTACAACAACCCCTGGAAACTCCGTGTCCTGGGTAAGAAAAGCAAATCTTATTTCATCACTTGTTCCACTAGGAGTATGTTCAATTCCACACTTGCAGGTCTGTAATCCTGTTTCATATTCTATTATGGATATTAAAAACTGTTACAAGTGTCCTATCATTTCCACCTACTATATGGAACCTGGTTTTTTTTTAGGCAGTGATTGTATACCATCTTTGCTGAAACCCAAACTTTTAGACTATTTTTACTCTTAGATTACATCACATAACTTCTACAGCATACACGAAAACTTTCATAAAGAACACAGTCCTGCATATCTTACAACATTTCTCTCCTGCCCAACATCTTTTTGTGTCCACTCCTACAACACAGCTAATAAAACAGGTGATAAACAGTCTCGATGAGATGAAACAGAACAACAATTGAAGTGAAAGCTCATTTCCTATCAGTGTATGGCAACAAAAGATTCTATTTATTTGCACAACTTTGTTCTACATTGGATTTTACAGACTCTGAAGGGACGTGTATTATTATGCCACACTTTTATAACGGACTTGTCACATCTTTACGTTCAGTATCCCCAGCCAAAGTTGGCATAACTTACAGTACATCACTAAGAATACGTATGTAACTGACCAGCTCCTGCCAAGTGAACAGAGGCTATTAAGAGCAGAGATTCCTCCCAACTGGAGGATATTCTGGTCTTCTTAAATAAAACTTCCTGGAACACACCATCTTATCTACAACCAGAACATTTTTCTTCCACAAGAACCAACATCTGACCACACCAAGAAGAGGCACTCCTGCTAATGCGCTGTCACTGGCAGGTTTCTTGTCCTACAGTTCTGCGTCAGTTTCCATAGCCAAAAGGGGAAGGAAATTCAAAGGACAAATAGGGCAGCAGAACACTAAAGACTTTGTACATCTGACCCGTTCCACTTTCTGTTCCATAAACTAACACACTGAATGACTAAATATTAAATTAATTCAGCTGTTTCAGGTGCTCTCTTTCTTCCCTGCCTATCAATCAATAGGAACAGAACACTGCACATGCACCACGTTCTGGAAACGAACATAAACAGTTTTCTGGTTTTTCACCACTTCTAGTCTAGTTAGATCAGGAACAGGGCAAATCATTTCTTGCTCAAGAACCAGCTTATTCCCCTTCCCCACCCAAAATCCATTCGCTGAGACAAATAGGTCAAGTATGAAACATTTACCATCGCGATGTAGCTGTAACTTAGCACGATCTCCCGAATCTTCCTCATCTCCTCTTCCAGGTTGTTTGCCCATACTTCGCAGATAACCTGGCTGTTCTCTGCAGGGGCTGCTGGCATCTTGCAGCAACCAGGGCAAGGACAGCTGACAAACTCCGATGGCAGGGCAGAGCTGCAAGCTGTGCGATCTGATCAGTGTGCTGTGCTAAATAGGAAGAAGAAACGGTGTTTTACGTGAACAAAGATCTACGTGAAGGAAGCAGCGATCCGGCAGAGCAGCTCACGGCTCTGTTTGCACCTCCCGACCGCCCGCGTGAAGTTTTTTAGAGGATTTGGGGGATTTTAGGAGCCTGCAGACACGGCGAAGGAGAAGCTGCGGGGGACACAGGTAACAGCGCAGCTCCCGGAGCCCCTCACCCCAACCCACCCCGGGCTGAGGCACCCGGCAGGCCGCTGGGCGAGGCCCGGCCTCACCCTGAGGCAGAGCCGGGCCCCAACCGGGCCCTGCCGCCCCCACAGCGCGGTTACGGCCCCGGGAGCGCCTCGGGGCGGCCCCGCGCCACCCGCCCGGCCCCGGGGGGAAGCTCCCGGGACAGGCCCGGGGGGGCTGCGGGGAGCTCGGGCAGGGCCGGGGGGGCTCCGAGGGGTCCCTGAGGCGCTCTGAGGGGTCCCAGGCCCCCCCCTTCCCCCTCCCCCCGCCGCTACCTGCCCGGAAGCCGGGGCCGGGCCTGTGGCGCCCCGCGCAGGCGCACTCAGGGCCTCCCGCCGGGGCTTTAAGGCGGGATTTCCGCCTCGCCCTGCCGCCGGGTCTCGCGAGAAGCGCTGGGGAAAGCCGAGGGGAGCGGGCGCGCGCGCGCCGCAACGTGCCCTGTGCCGCGCGCCCGCCGCGCGCGCGCCTGTAGGGGAGGGGAGTTGGGAGGGAGGAGCGCCGCGCGGGGAGCTGTGCGCATGCGCAAAGCCGCTGCCCTTGGGCTGAGGGGATGCCGCGGCTCCTCCCCCTCAGGCAGGCGATGGACTCGCCCAGCGCTCACAGAGCGCGGAGCTTGGGCGAGTCCAAAGGCTGCGGGTGGGGGGGGGAGCTGCGGGCCTTTGTCACCCGGCCCGACCCTGCCCTGCCAGCTCCGCCTCGCCTCAGCGGTCTCTGTTCCGGCCCCGTGTGGCAGCGCTCAGCTGCTTCCTGCCCCAGACACGTTATTTAAGTCCCATTAACACCAAAACTTCCCCAAAACGGCCCGACACGGCTTCTGGTGTCACGCAGCCGCCAGCACCGCTGCCTTGCGGGCTGATGGCAGATCCGTGATTGATGTGGAAGGTTCTCTGGTCACAGCGCTGCCGTTGGATTGCCTCACCCTCAGGCTGCCAGCCTCCCCGGGCAGGGTTGTATCTGTTAAAAACAGATCACATTCCTCGTAGTGCTGCAGAATTACTTCTGCCCACCCTTCGGGGTCAGCTGGAAGACTTCGTTGACTCAGCTGCCTGCTTACCAATCAGATAAATAAAAGTACCTGGAAAAAATACATAAATCTTGGTATCTCTCGCACTCCAGGCACAGTTCAGTCTCCCAGATTTAGCATTCATGCCTCAGCAGAAACATAGATGTAAAAGGAGAGGGTTTTTTCTGGACGCTGCTCTCTATCAAGCGACCTTGATGCTGTCAGCATCTTCTGAGCTGTGTTTTGATGCCACGTTTATCTCTGTAGGCGATAGTTCCCATTTTGCCTCCTCAGCTCAGAACTTCACTCAGGTTGTGCAAGTCACGCAACATGCTAAATTGGCAGAAAGTTATCACCTTTAACACAGAGAAGTTATTTTATGAAGTGTCTGATCAAAAAAGCGTTTCTACTAAGAGAAAATCAGACTTTGTGCATTCCTCAGAGCTGAGCCTTGGCAGGGATTGCATTAACTGGAGGGTTTCTGGTGACGGTACCAGTTTAGGGCCCAGGCTAACCAACAGAAGCAGCTTTCAGGTTACTGCTGACCTGCACTAGACCCAGACTTGCAGCAGCAGGTAAATGAAGTTTACATCCTTATGACTAATGCTCTAATCTGTCTGTTACTACTGGGCATAAATCTTTCAGATATAACCCGTGTCTGAATTGAACAGAGGTTAAAAAAGAACACTGAGGTCTGTGAAATTCACGGGCTTATCACAGTCTTTAGCATATTGGATGAACAGCCCTCCCAGTGCAAGATCAAGTCCAAAAAAAGGACGGGACAGCGTTCATTCTCCTGAGGATGCCATTTCCCACTTCCTCCTCGGTACATGTGCAAATAGTTTGGAGGAATTGCGTTGCTCCCTGTTGAGTCTGCTGTCTACAGTAAATAACAATTAGTAGCAACAGCTGAGAACTAAAAAAACTCCCCACCAGGGAATTGATGCTATGAGTCAAGAGAAAGTGGCGATGAAAACAGCAAAGCTTCTAAATCTGAAATGAAACAGCAGCAAAAGTGTACCATACTGATGACACACAGCACTGGTTGAGAGGGGGGAGTTCAGGAATATTCCTTCAAGAAAAAGTTAATTGATAAAAATATAGATATAATGGTAGGTGGAAGAAGTCAGGCAGAGACAACTAGGCACCACCACTATTCGTGCTTGCAGATCTACTATTGTGCTATGCAGCATTAACTACTGCTAGCTTGAGATGCTGCTTACAACAACATATATTGCTTCACACATGTATGGCCATGCAAAGCTAACCGTGAGGGAGAGGAGATGGTCCTTGTCTTTCCTTGAGTGGAAAAATAAATCTGGTACCATATGTCCAGTAACACCCTCACTTCTTCGGTTGGACTAGATGATCTTGGAGGTCTTTTCCGACCTTAATGATTCCATGATTCTCAGAGTTTAGCTCATAATAGGACACTGTATATTAGATAAGTAGTAGATTAGGGCCACATCTGCATAATAAAGACAAATACTACTGCAAATTACATCTTGCAATACTGTAATTACAGACTTTATGGTCTGTAAGCATATTTAAACACAACTGAGCCCAAGCACATTCTAACCTATTTGCGTCTCATCCTTACAGATAGAACCAGTACCTGCAACTGCCTGAAGACACTATGCAGCAACTCATGGTGAAATCTGTAGTTAGGCCAACACAACGAAATCTTGGACTGCTGTTTTTGGCCACGATCCGCAGTAACCCTTATGCTTTTAACAAATACACCTTTGACTCATTCAGTTGCACTGGCATTAGCTATTTTGTGCTTAAAACATGAGTTAGGGCATTGCAAAAACTATTTATTTTTAAGGTGTAGCTGCCTTCTTTATTCGCAGACACGGTCATTATCTCTTGGTGAAAAACCCTTACCTGCAGAGATGTATTCTGAATGCTTAACCGAATGACAGCATGTGCACATGCACAGGGAACGCTGCCAGTACTGCCAGTGACATGGCCCTGGCTTCACATGACTTGTCTGGGAGGGGACAGCCAACTCCTGCCTGGAAACACACCCCCGACTCCTTTGCCTAAACCCTCATAAAGTTTCCGCAGCAGTAGTGAAAGGTGAGGAGTTGAACTCTGGGCTCTGGATAAACACAAAGGACCTCTCCTAGGCTACACTTAGCAGGAGGTAAGCAAAGAGCGGGCAGCCAGAGCTCAGGGGCATAGTGGCTGGAAAATATATGATTGAAACTCTGAAGAAATAATTAAAAGGCAATGTCATATGTACATTTAAAATAGGAACTGTAGTTGCCTTCAAATCTGTGCACTGCTTGGCACAGTAGGAGCCCCACCAGACACATCTAGTCTTGTCTCTCTCCATACAGTGTGGCTGATATGCAACTTCAGGGGTGACCAGGTAGGTTGTCCTTACTTTTCTCCTCTCTATAGGTTCTGTACTTTCACAGTCGTTCTCTTATTTCTCCCGGGCAACATTTCCACTGTCTATGTACTACAAAGCTTGATTCCAATGAAGTTCTAAAGTAGAAGTTTCAAGCAGGAAGGAAAAAAATACCAAACAACGGGGTTGGCAGCCACTCCATCACTGCAGACAGTTATCCAGCTGTACCTGACAGCAGCAGGACTTAGCTGGTGTCAGAAGGATGCGATGCAATAGGAGACTGGGTACAGTACAAGGAGAAGCAGGCGCTTGTGCAGTCTCAGCTTGGGACTATCTGGGCAGCAGGAACTGTAAGGGGACAGCAAAGATGGGACTTGAATAATAATGTAAACTTTAAAACAGATGTAAAAAGTATGGCAGTTCCTTTATTAAAGCTGTGTAACTGTTTATTTTATTCCAGATTATTTTATGGATTTTAAAACATGACTTAGACAAACTAGCCTTTTCTGATAGTTGAAATGGAAAATACAGTGAAAGCAGATCTGATACACAGTTGCTGGAGAAATGATAAAATACATGGCAATTAAAAAAAAGTTTGTATTGGAATTCTTTACTGCCTGGTGCCTGTTTCCCCTTTGCCATTAAGAGCATAAAACAATTACATTTACTGCAGGATTTAGAATTTGGTTTGATCAGATTTTGTGTTAACTAGATTGAAAAAAAATAAACAGAGCCTTTATTTTACATAGCACCAGTTCTATCTAATGCTAGCAAATAACTGCAGGCAGCTGAGGTCCTCGCTGTTTGCTTCGGGGCTGTGTAATATGCCAAAAGAGATCAGTGCCAAGTACTTGGAAGGATTTTTTTTGTTTGCTGAAACAGCCGTGGTGACATGAATGCTTTTGTTTATGTACTTGGTGTATTCTGAATCAGAAAAGATATTATCCAGCGAAAAAGGGGGTAGGCAATGAGATGCTGGGGAAAGATATGGTCCATCAAAATTTGTCTTGTTTTAATGTAAGCAACGTAAAATTTTATTCTGTAAATGTGACAGTAAAGGTAGCTGACTCAGATTTGGGGGAGAGGAAGGTTAAGCAAATACGTTTCAAACTAGAAGGCTTTGCCCAACAAAGACTTCTATCATAATCTGATTATTTTAAAAAGGAGGAGGACTAGAAATGCAATTACAATTTTAACTCCTTCCAAACTCACACCATGTGAGACTCAGTCAAGCACTGGCTCTTTCTCTTCCCAGGAACTCAAAGCAGAGTCATGCTCTCACCTGTGCTCTGCTCTTTAGCCTTTGACATGCAAAGTTTCAGCAGGGATTGAATCAGCACTGCTGTATGGTGCTGCAATAGTAACTGAGATATCTACCCCTCTAAGATCTAACGTCTATTACGAGATTATCTAGGAGTAGAATAATCTCTTTTATCACAGATAACTACGGCCAATACTATTTTCTGTACTGCTGTAGCAGAATAATTCAGTGCTGTTTTCAGCTCCCTGCTGGGTGGTTGTAGGGAAGACAGGGAGGTGCACAACAAAAGGATGAGGGATGCAAGTTATAACGGGGGAAATTCTGATGAGATATTAGGAAAAAAATTACAGTAAAGGTAGTCAAACACTGCAACATATTTCTTGGAGAAGCTGTAGCATCTCCATGTATGTACTCAAAGGTCAACAGTTCAAGGCTCCAATCAACCTGATCTAACTTTGGACTTGGCCCCATGCTGAGCAAGGGGTTGGACCAAGGGGATCGAGAAGTTATTTCCAACTGATGTTGTGATTTTAAGTAGTGAGGTAGAGCATCCTTGAAGAATAAGGAGTGTTAAAACAGGGTCTGGAATAGAGCAAGGTGCCCAAAAAGTAATGGATTATTTGACTTATTACAACTATTAGCAGTGTTTTCATAGAGACGGCAGGCACACCTGCACCGAGAAGACCTGTGTGACAAGATGGGAACACACTGCACATTGCATAACAGACTGCTTCATCATGATCAGGAGGTCTTTGCAAATGAAGATAAGCTCAGTCTGTCCGGTGGCAAATTATTTACCCTGCTCTATTCAGACTAGCAGGTTGCTTGTTACTGTAACTCTTAGGCATTCTTCATCAGATATGTTAGAGTCCCACGATATTTTATTAGTAAGATTGTGGCTGGGAAACTAGATATAATGGGGAAAAAACACAGAAAAGATCTCAAAGACTGGCTTTAGTAGCTCACAGAGTCTAATAGAGGAGCTCTCGATCTGGGGAATGACGAGATGTACTAGGACATGGGGACTTCCCTAACACGTTCTGATTTTAAGCAATAGCACCTCTCACCCATTTATTTATTTTTTTATTTATTGGCAAAGGGAGACAACATGAAGTTGTTTGTTTTAAGGTTGCTACCAAAATTTAGCATTTCCCCTTGGAGTATTTGCAACCCTAGTGTTGACATAGAGGGCTGGGAGTCGGGGCTTGTGGTTTCCAGTGTCAAATCACTTTTTGTCTGATTTCTTTTGTCTTCCCAGAACTGTTTAACATCAGTAGTAAGCAGAAAAGGCCTCACCTTTTTCTGTCCATGAGTAAGCAGGAACCCAAGCAGGAAGAAAGTGTCCAATTTTTCTGTCTCCTGCCCATTGACCTGCACACTAGCATGTTGTACAGAAACAAAGCTGGAAATGCTTGTAAATAAACAGAACTGCATTTAGAAGACTGTACCCAGAAAGCTATCACTAATCCCTCTGCTCCTATGACGGTTTCTTTTTGGCAGTGCATTCCCCCTTTCTGACAAGCTGCAAGAGGAGCGCTCCCAGGAGGCCTGCTATCATCGTAAAGGTAATAGAATATCATCTGTCTAATGACTCATTTTCTGATTTTCATTGTACCTTAGACAGGTGCCTTTGTACCTTCTCTCCACTTTCCTTTGTTACCTTAGGTAACACAGCGTGCCTGTGTTTGAATATTCTTCCAACTATGAAAAGCAAAATAGATTAAATTCTGCAGTCCTCAGTAAGCCGTCACTTACACTATTAGACTTGATGCGTTCTGTTCATAAAATACTAATACACATTGGGAAATATGGGAGGATGTGGGGGCTGTAAGACTTAAAGAGCTCGGTTTTGTGCCATGGACAAAAATGAAGGAGGGACAGAGCATAGAGGGAAACTATTGTACAGTTTTGCAACTGAGCTTGAAGTGATTTGCTACGGTCAGCATTGTGTTCTTCCACCCTCCAGCTGTACAAAGTTCACTTGTATCACTTCTTATTTCAGATGAAGAGAGACTCTGGATACTCCACCATGGCTGCACAGCAGAAACAGGTAAAGACTCAAAGTTCACCTTTTAAAGGAAGCGTTATGCAGGCGTTTTGGAAAGCTGGATGTGTTGAATAACCTCCCAAGAGAAGTGACAGACCTATCAATGTTCCAATCACTTTAACACAACTAGGAGTTCATCGCTTATCACTACAGCAACATTTTCACGTTTTTTCACTTCCAGTGCACCGTGGCTACAGCACTATGTGGTGAAGGGCCTGTTACCTCTGCTTGTATGGCAGGAGACCACAACTCTCTGCTGTAGCCAGCAGCTCTGCTACCTAACCAGGCCCAGTGTGGTGGGCCAGCTGAGCAGAGTCTTTCCCACCTGGTGCACCTCCTTCTCTTTTACCTTGCAGGCAGCAACCCTGCTCTGCACTTAAGGAATTTGTCACCTTGTATAAGCCCTTTAAGGGCAATGTCTCAGGCAATCAGTGGAGCAGAATTTGGAAACCACTGTGCCAGAGCCGCTGGCATGAAGAGAAACAGGGTGTTAGCACTTGGACCTGATGAACAAGATTTTTTTTTAATGTAAACTTCTCTGCTTCTACAGCTCATGTAATTATACTGTGTGGGCTTCATTCACGTAATCACTTCCTCACATGCAATAAAAGCAGTCTCAAAACAAGACAGTTTCTGTCCAAATGGCTTTTAAAATTGCTTAAAGATTGCAGAGCAGTGGCTACTGTCTTAAAGCAGGGCATACGTGGTCTCTGATGTGTATTAGAAGTTATTAATATTTGAAATTATTTGAGATCTTCTGGCTGGAGGACACTAAAGAATCTGAAATATTATTTGGTCTAACTAAAAAGTCTGATTTCAAAGTTTTTCTTTGGTATATTCATCCTATGAAAAAGAAGGATTTAAAGGATACAATTCTGTTAAAAGGCTCAGAAACATTTATAGCCTTTAATATTTCTTTCTAAAGAATACCTAGATGGTATGCCAGGGTTTAAATATTAAGAAATTCTTATCTTATATCAGTATACATTAGGTGTAACATGGATACAACTGGAAGTCTGAAACTTGAGAGCAAGCTTCCAGCCCAAAATTGAGCATGTACTATCTGAAGCTGGAATAGATGGCTCTTTCACCAGCCTTGCATTTTCAGTTGAGTACACCCAGCCATAATGCTGGCAACTGATTGTATTGCTTCAAATACAAGCCTACAGGGTTCACAAACATGAAGCTGTAGGGCAAGAGTCCTGTAAATTACTTTCTCCCCAGTTGCTAATGTGATAAAAACTGAAACGATAGGAACAAATGTTTGTTTTAATGAGGAAAGTTTCAGTGCTAATGAGCAAAGTTCTGTCCTGGGACAGATAAACACTGCTGACAAGTTCTGGGCAATGATTAATATTCTGTAGCTGTTACAGAATCTTAAAAAAACTCTTCACACTGAAAGCTATGTCGAGAGGGTTTCCCTGTATTGCATTGCCCTACACACACCTGCATTCAACATGCATTAGTATGCATTAGTGAGCTGTCTCTCGTTTGGCCTCTCTGACAGGAGACAAACAGGACAGCAACTATGAATCATACTATTTTTACTCCAGTCTGCTTTTGCAGCTAAACAACACAGTTGAAAAAAACCAGGAAGGACAGAACAAAACACTAGCTGGTTATTACGCTATAGTATTTTAGAATTACTATTTATTTTTTTAAATCATCCTGCAGATAAATATAATGTGTATTCACCCAAGAAGACTCAAACTAAGATTTCTGAACTGCACAACCAATCTGGGCTATGTTAAGACACTTAATTATATATTTGTCATATAATTGATAATCATTTTTGCATATTTAATTGTTCAAATATATCAAATACTGCTTTTTGAATATTCTTATTCCTAGAATCAAAAAGTCACACTGGTCTGATTGCTTTGTGTGGTTAAAATCCTTACTGTCCTAGGAGTCCTGTTAACACCACAGGTGCCATTATACTTACATGGGGATATTTGTTTAGTAGGTAACACTTCCATGACTGAGAACAGGAATGTAGTGAACTTCCTACTTCTCTGAAGTTGTGTATTTTAACTTCTTGTTATAGGGCAGTTATTCTGTACAGATCACACATGGTACCTTCTAGACAAGTCGTACTCCCAGTACTAGAATCAAATTGTATCTGTGATGGGCTGTATCTGCAAGGCAAAGTATTATCCTCTGTTAGACCTCTGTTACAGTTAGAGGGAAAAAAAAAAAAAAAAGGCTAAGCTTCTTCAGAAGCACTCTTCAAAGCTAAGAAAAAAGTTGAGAGAAGTGGTTCTGAATTAACTGGAGCTATTAATCAGATCACCTGACCATAACAGTTCTTCATTACTGCTGGAGGATAGCATATTGGATACTGGGAGGGAGAATAAACTGGCAGAGTGAGGGAAATGTAGAGATGGAGCCCGGTTCCTTACCCCCAGGTCTTCCATTGCTACTGTTCTGAGTTATCCAGAAGCCCTTTACATTACAGTCCTCCAGGTACTCAGAAATATACCCAATAAAAATGGGGAGGGAAAGATCAGTGGCCCATCCTCTCCCTTTGATTACACCAGAGAAATTCCATGTCAGTGACACTTCAAGGCTCTGTGAAGACATCAGGTGGACGTGGGTGAACTCTCCCCCCCAGTTACACACACTATCCCAGAACAGCCTGGTTACCGCGTTCTTTAGAATCTGTAAAGCAAAACAGACCACCATGGGACCGCCTCTAACCACGCATTTCAAATACCAGAAAGCCTAGCACGGGGCCCCGCAGCATATACTTAATTACTCTTGTTGCTTGCTCACAGGAAGAGAAGCTCTGGGATGCCGTGAAGACCTCTGCCATGGTCCTTGGTACAGGCCTGCTCATATTCACTGCCTTCATGAACTCTGCTTCTTGGTGAGATTGTTAGAACAAAGGGGCTTGAGGAGAAGCATTTCTGTGGAGAGGGGATAAGCACGTTGTGAAAAGATAAGTCACTAACAACATTTACTCCCACAGGTATGTACAGAAGATCTGGGAGACCTCAGGCAATTTCTGGCAAGCAGCATGGCTAAATCTTTACAACCGGTTTGAGGGAAAGGAATGGTCACTCTTCCTCTTTGGTGAGTTACTCAGATTAACAACCCTTTGCTGTACAAGGGCACGTATTGTATTTAAAATGGGACGTGGATGTTCCATCCCAAACTGCCCGCTTTCCCTGCTGAAAAGCACACGTAGGCTTCAAAGCCAGCTGTAAGTGACAGTGCAACGGTGCCACCTCTGGAGTGGCTCCTCATTAGACCTACTACAGGGATTAAAAACCTGATCTTTTTGCTGCTTCTGAAAGTACAGAACGGCTTCCCTGTGTAAACATACTCTCTGCTCCTGTGAGAAATGAATGACTCAGTAGAACTAATTACTGAAAATTAAAGTTAAATTAGTAAATTTTACGCTCGCCGTAGTGTACAACCCTTCTCTGTCTGTGATTAGCAGTTGGTGAACAGGCTCGGTAGGGATTTTGCAAGGTCCCAGGAATCAACTTGATCTTATCCAATGTGTATTTAAAAATAACTCGTGACAGAGGTTCCCCAACCTCCTAGAAAAATCTTTTCTTAGCGTGTTGTGGCAGGTTTTAGCCTATGGGGTATTTGTGCAGTTTAACCTCACCATTCCCTAGATCTTACTTGGGTGCCAGAACCTACCCATATTCCATTTTAAAGCATCACAGGGCAGGGATTATGCACCTGGTATACTTAGGTCCAAGCAACGTCCTCTGGATACTAATCCACTGTATCTTTTTTCTGATTTAGCCACAGCTCTCAATGTATTCACACATCTCTGACCTTTCCTCATGTCACAGGGGCTGCGTTGGTTCCTGCCCTTGCCTTCTGGTGCTTCAATGGAATCCTTATGGTGGCTGATGTAACAGGAAAGCCAACTTTCATTACTCGGTATCGCATTCAGCTGGGCAAGAATGATCCTGTAAGTAATTGTCACTGTGCCTCTTCTGCTGGCTAAACACTTCCTGGAGTCTCTTAGGTTAGGAGAGGGGAGAAGAACCAGTTATGCTTTTCTCTTCCAACCAGATAGGATTCAAGGAGAGTCAAGCTGAGTCTTGTATATCCACGGCAGAGAGAAAAAATGTTCTTGTAATTAGGCTACGGATCAGATCTTGATAGACTGCTTGTTAAAAAGTTGACCCCTAAACTAACTAATACAAAAGCATCCTACAAATCTAAAAGCTCTTTATTGTTCCTAATCAAGGACCCAGTGCTTCTGATGTAGCCTCAAATCCTGACTTCTTTTTTGCAGGTGGACACAAAAAAATTGCGACAAGCCATCTACACAGCGCTGTTTAATCAGTTCTTTATCTCCTTGCCCATGCTTGTGCCTATGTTCCATGTCATGAAATGGTGGGGCAACACCTTCAGCAAGGAATTACCCACCTTCCAGTGGTTTCTTGTCGAGCTGAGCATCTTTACCATAACTGAGGAAATTCTCTTCTATTATTCACACAGGTGAGCTGAGCACTGGAACGGGACTCAGTGGTTTGCCCCTCTGCCTTTAAGGTTATACCCATCTCTGGAAACAGCAACAGTCCCTCTTCCAACAACCTTGTATTTGTATGGAAAGACGTAGGTCCTGGAGCTTACTTATAAGTTCCTATACTAGGGAACATCCTTACTACATGAGGCTTGGCTGCTGCAATGCTGCTACAGTAAGCAGAAATGGATAAAAACTACAAATGTGGAACAGGTTAGAGATTCAGGAATAAAGTAAACAGATAGCTTTATACAAAAGCTGTTAAAAAAAAAAAAAGCGTTTGGACACAGGCACAAAAGAAGAAAAAAGGATGGCCACTTACTATTCTTTCTCTAATAGTTGCCAGTAGGAAAAGTCAAAACAGCAAAAAATACAGTGAGTCTTTCCCTAAGGGGAAGGTTTGAGTGAATCAGTCTTTCAGAGACTTGGATTTATGGGATGTACTTGAACCTAAGTTCAACATCAACCAACAGACATTGAATCCATTGAACGAGGACTTAATGATGAAGAAAGAGAGAAGCCAGGAGTCCTGCACTCACTCCCAGCTGTTCTAAAACCCATTTTCAAGAGGAGACATGAGACCGGCCCGAGGAAAAGTTGTTACATTACTCTATGTTCCTTTCTTAGGGGGCTCAAAACCTATATTTCTGTTTTCTCTACTTAGGCTTGTTCATCTGCCCCTCCTGTACAAGCACATTCACAAGAAGCACCACGAATGGACAGCCCCCATTGGTGTGGTCTCCATTTACGCTCACCCATTAGAGCACATAGTAAGTGATCTCCTCATGGTCACCTTCCACTTCCTGCGTGGAGTGCGAGTTCCATGGGAGGAAGAGGAGTGGTAAGAGACAAAAAGCAAATGCTTCCTTAGAATCTTCTTTCTGAGAAGAGGAAGCTAAACTGCATTTCCAAGAAGCCTGGCTGTGGAAGTATTGCAGTGCCTGTTTATACCAGACTCTATTAGCTTTAAGAGTAGAGAAAGAGCTGGGAGCACAGATTGTGCTTTCAGCAAGAAATGTAATATTTACACAGGCTAGGTTACTGCATGGACTCAATACTATCATTATTTTCATGCTGGTGGCTGGAGTCAGTGCTTGCAAACCCCTCTTGAGTGTCTCCCAGCCTTGCTCCAGCCAAGACTTCTCATAAAAACGCATCCCGCCTTCAGAAGATTCCACTAAATACCTCTAAATACCACCTCCTGTTAATAACAGGACTGGGTTGCAGCTCCAGCTCTGTGAATCTCCCTAACTGGCAGCCTTTGGGTAGCAGAGGAGCTTGTTAAATCCAGGAGTCAAGCTGAGCCCCATCGGTGCAGTAAGCCTCGTCTGGGCCATAGCAGCTACCAGTAGCACTGGTAGGACACAGTGAAGTGCTGCAGCTGGGATCATCACACCACTACTCTTGTCTGCAAACGTCCACAGGCCAGTGCCCCTTTACAGCTAGGTTTCCCTAGAGCAGCTTCAGCTTTTTTCCCAGAAGCTGCTGAAATTCTCACCTCTGACGCCAGGGTGAGGTACTAGAACCATGCTGCCCTCACGCCCCTCGTTTGCTCTCATGTCCAAGTTTTACTACTAGTTTGGGGAGCTTGTACTGTGACTATGTTTCAGAGTGAGTAAAACTAAGTTGACTCAGAGCAAAATTATTTCTTTGGTGCTAATTATGTACTTTTAGCAAGATGTTTGCAGAGGGATATGCCCTTTATGCTGTTTGCAGAGAACTAATGCACCCCAGCGAAACAATTTGGCTCCTAGGCGAGAACCTGCTTGTTGTGGACCCATTAACAAGGCAGTTTGCTTCTCATTTCCAGCTCTCCAACACGCTGCCTGTCATGACTGGCCCGATGATCATGGGGTCCCACATTGTTTCAATCGCAGCGTGGTTCTCCCTTGCTCTTATAACAACCAGCATTTCACACTGCGGCTACCACCTGCCCTTCCTGCCGTCGCCGGAGTTCCACGACTTCCACCACCTCAAGTAGGTCCCTGCTCCCCTTTCCCCTCCTTCCTGCGCCCTGTCACTGCCGACAGGCAAAGCTCCTTTTGGAGCATGATTCATGTATAAGCAGAGAAGCCTGTGCAGCTCACCTGCTGGCAGACCAAAATCAGTTCTCAGAGCAGTTAAATAGAGCTTTGGTCTCACCGGGTTCCTGCTGACTTCCCACCCGACTGCCAGCCACCTCGCTGACTTCTATGCTTCTCCATCAGCTGACTTGGAGACCTCCAAAGCACAAACGCACAGCTGAGGCTGGGTGGTTCAGGTTTCCCAAAGTGACATGGGAGGGAAGCAGACAGTGCTGGACTTCCCCCAGCACAAGTGCAGAGACAGTTCTCTGCAAGGCTCTTCCTGGAAGCCCAAAAGACACCGCATATGATCTAGATTCAAGGCAGCAAGGACAAATCACATAGCAAAACCAAATCTGCTGCAGGAGCCTCCCTGTCTGTCCCTTTCCTATACACAGGGATTAGCAACAGTGATCAGATAACACCTTGCACAAACAATCTCAATTAACCCTTCCTGGCAAAGACTCCCAGCCCCCTTTTACACAGGAGTATCGTTTCAGTAGGTTGTTCAGGGATACATACCAAAATCGTGGAAGAGTTGTCCCCATCTGCCGTACTTCTTCGAACACAATTTGCTTCTCCTGCAGAAATAGAAAATGGGGATCGTTCTGTTGCAACCTAAGCGCAGGGCAACACCCAGAACATGGAGCCAGTTCTTGTTACCAGTCATTTCCTCTGCAGCTCGGCTCATGTCAGGACACGGATCGCCGCAGAGCTCAGCTGCTGTCTGGGCAGAGCTGTGCCAGCATCTGCAGTGCTGGAAGCACGTCAGCTCCACGTCTCTGGGCAGCCTGGGCTGGATGCACAGACATGGCAAGGTGGCTGCCCCACTGCTCCCACAGCTCTGAGCTGCTGTGTGCAGGGACGGCTGTTGTTCGGTGTCACCGTACCTGGATAATGAAGCAGCAGGAGGGAAGCTGCATAGATTTCACCCAGGTTTCATTAGGGCTGCGAGGGAAACTTGGTACAGCAGCAGCAATCACACGGATGGCTTATCAGGGCCCTGAAAGAAGATAGAAATAGGAAGGGCAAGGTAACCTCAGTAACTTCCAGTGCTGTTTATTCTGTTTGGTTTCCAGGTTCAACCAGTGTTATGGTGTCCTCGGAGTGCTGGATTACCTGCATGGAACAGACACGGTGTTCAGACAAACCAAAGCCTACGAGAGGCACAGGGTCCTCCTCAGCCTCACACCTCTCTCAGAAAGCATCCCGGAGACACCCAAGAGGGCAGAGTGACCTCCAACCCTGCAGCCTGCATTCTTGCAGAGCCCAACGACAAGGAGAGCTGGGGACAATTCATGCCAAATAGTACCTTAATTGGGAAACAAGTTACTGGGCACGAGTAACAGTTCCCAAAACTGAACTGAAACATGCGACTTGAGATGACCACAGTCACCGCCTGTTATTTTCTACCTAAAGCGTGAAAAAACTGCTCTAGAAAGCTATTTTTAAACTTGTATTGATTCTTGGTTTTAGCCGCCTGCACATAAGCCACATGGTTTGGGGGTTACTGAATCCTCATTAAGGTTGTAACAGATCACATTTTGGCCTCTTTCAGCAGCATTGTGTAGACATACCAGCAAGATCACTACGGCTACATACTGTAGGAATTACAACCACTGTTCCTCTGAGACTTAGTGTTACCCAACCTCAGACGGCCTCGCATGTGGGCCTTACAAAAAGTCAGTGAAGCCACGGCTCTAGAAATACTCCCTTCCATACGCACACAGGCCTGATTTGCCCTCAGCAGTTTTTCATTATGCAAGATAGAAGTGCATCTGAGGTTGGGGCTGTCTCGTCCTCATGGCCACTCCACAAACCAACACAAACAGCACTCACCCCTTTATGCAGATCCACAAGTACCTATACAATAAAAATCAAGATATGCTGCGAAGTTTTTTGTAGAGCTGACCTGCTCTGCACTTACCTGCTGTCAGCCCATGGAAGCCAAGTCTCTTCCTCCACCCTCCTCCAGTTCCTTCAACTGCACCTGCATCGACCCAGCCCGGCCGTCCAACCCACAGCCCTCTGGGGAGGGCACATCAGTTAGCAGAACAGACAGCCCAGACTGCATTGTCTTTTGAAGTTTTTATTTTTATACATTTTTTTTTGTATTAAAAAGGAAAAAGCATAATTACCACAAATTACAAAGGACTAAAGCATTACTAGAATAATGAATCACATCAGCCTAGAAAGCAGATACTCTGAATAATATTAATGTTATAATACAAGCTCTCATTCAAGTATTTTACATTTGTCTCTTTTCCTTTTATATGTGATGATGATCCTAGCACATGGGTCAAAGATTATGTACTATCGACAGAAGATGGATCATGTACAGCGGGCCATATTAACAAGATTTTCCTCCCAAGTGATAAATGGTCTGTGATGAGTCATTTTAAGTTTGTCTCTACGATAAATGCAGCTGAAGAAGGTTGCACACACTTTCTAGTTTTGGGAACAGAAGGCTGAGGTTGGGACACACACAGTTTGAGAAGGGCCAGCACATCGAACCATCACCCCTGTTGCTCCAGGCGAGCTACCGAAGGCCGAGCTCTAACCCACACCGCCCGAGCAGCTCGGAGCACACCGCCACCAGCGCTTGCTTCCGAGTCACAGATCTGAGGATTTCCAACCCCAACAGGAGCGGGCCAGGCTGGGAGAGGAAGGGGGAGCGGGGTGGCTGCCGTCCCTGCAGGCACACGAAGCTCGGGGGGGACCAAGGGCTGCCAAACCCCATCCCGGCATGGGTGTCACCGTCCCCGCCAGCCCACGTGCGGGGCTGACGTGGTGGAGATGGGGACAGGAGAGGGAGCCAGAGGGACAGCAGGGGGACTTTGGGGTTAGCCCGAGCACTGCAAGGGGGTGGCTGGCACCCGGGCCGGTCCACGCTCTTCTGGAGCTTCCCACCGAGGGGATGTGCTTGTCACAGATACATCGGTCCTATGTTCAAGTGTCTGCAGAAAGTGAAACTGTAAACTACTCATTGAAACACTGCCCTCCATCCATCCACCCACTCCACGCCACTGAGATGAGAATTTTCATTTAGAGGAAAAAAAAAAAAGTTAAGTCAGTGAGGCATTTAACATCAAGTGTAGCAACCCTCTCTGAAGAAGAGCCTAGCATCCATTTCAAAACAGTGACAAAGTGACATAACCAGTCTCAGAGGAGAGACAGGAGAAAAGAAGCATTGCAAACACAGCTTGCTACATTTACAGTTTTCCTTTTTTTTTTTTCCTTTTTTTTTTTTTTTTCCTTTTGTTAAAATAACTGGAAAGGCATTAACAGCTAAAAGGCCCCCTCCGCACCACGATGCTGAGCGTGCAGACACGTGGCAGGACACCGAGGTTAACGCCTCACCCCGGGCAGTACGAGCGACCCGGCCGAAGCAAAACGAGCAGTTGCCAAAACTCGAGGGAACCCAGGGGCTGCAGGGCAAGGCTGCCGACGGGGAGGGGTCCGAGGGACACAGCAGGGAGCAGGACAGACAAGCAAATGGAGCATCAGCAGCATTATTATTATTTTTTTTTCCTTTTTCAAATGAGCGTGGCTAAGCAACGAAGCCTCCTCTGAAACACACCACCCACCTCCACCACTGACCCGCACAAGAGGTCTGGACCTGTCCCAGGTGCCTGGGCCCCGAAGGGGGGTGGATGTACAGGACCTCGGCGAGGAGAGGGCTCACACAGCAGCCAGGAGGAGACAGGGACACACTCCCCTGGCTGCCCCAAACTTTGCACCAGCAGCCATGGCTCCCTCCGGCCGTGCTGGGGGCTGGGCACCAGCCTGGTGCTGCCACCACGAGCGGCGTTGCAGTCCCGGCAATAAGCGTGCCTGATCATCCAGGCCATTAAAATTAAAAAAAAATAATAATAATAATCATGAAATATGATTGTGGCGAAGCATCCAAGCTAAAAGCAAGGCCAAACTCCTTCCTCAGCTGGAGGGCAAAGCTTCCTCGAAAGCAAACCCCTCTCCGGACAGCTGCCCGCCTTCCCTGGGGGCGCAGTGCGGCAAGCGGCGTGTGCTGCCCGATGTGTGGCACCGGCACGTTTTGTGAGGGAGGCCAAACACCTCATGCAGCCCCACAACCCATCCATGACCACACCACAGCAGTCCCGGCCCCATGAGGTGTCCACATGCCATGGGGCTCATGAAGCCAGCCCTGTGTGGGGCTGGGCCTGGCAGGCACTGCAGCCCTGCTCGGTGGCGGCCTGCAGGCCCTGCTGCCCCGGGAGCCAGCTACAGCCGCCTGGGGCTGCTTCTTTCCCTTCTTTCCACCTCCCCGTGGCTCCCTGCAGCCGCTGCTGTCCCACAGAGGGCAGAGCGAGGCGCACGGCAGCACGTGGCCGCTCACCCAGGCCTGCTGGCACACAAACCCGGCCGGCAGCGCCGCTCCCCAGGGCCCTCAGCCACACTGATGCAACAAACCACTGACTATGAGGGGGGGGGAAAGGTCTTCTGTGCCTAGACTACACAGTCTCGGCCTTCGAAATTAAAGGAAGAATAATTTAAAATCAATTCAGGATTTGGGAAATTCTCTGGGACGTTCCTCAGCCTTCTCTACCACCCCGGCAATTCCCCAGCCTGCTCCACAAGGAACAGCTCCGCAGCAGGAGCTTGCTTCTCCTCCTTTCCTATTTCGTTTCCTGCTCACAAGCAGACCACCGGCTTCCAAAGAGAACACGCACCAACGAGAGGAATACAGGGAACACAGCAGCAAGGACCACCTGTGGCACATTCGAACCCGCTTCCACTTGCCAACAACCAGCAAAACATCTCCAACGCCCTCGGCCAACCCCCGGCTTCAGCCTCCGAGGTGCCTCCTTCCCAAATCAGGGCCGAACCCTGCCAGGTCCGTAACGTGAGAGATCTGACTCTGGCTCACAAGAGAAGAGAAAATTGGAGGTAACAGTCAAGGCCGCAGCGCTGTACAGACATTACTCGCCAGCCCGGGCCGGGTACCGCTCCGAGGCCCCAGAGCGCTGCTGCGGATTCGGAGCACGCCGATGGCTTGGGCACCTTCGTGCCCTGAACGGGGCCTCCGAGCGGTACCGAGCCGCGGGATGGCGTGGTAGGGGCAGACGGACCAGAACGGGATCACACTAGGAGGAAATGGCAAAGTAGCAGCTACCCAGCCTCGCTCAAACCCAAGCTGTGCTTTCAGTTACTAGCAGCAGGTCACGAAGCTGCTCCACGCGGCCCAGCCCCGCTCCTCTCCCTTCCCACCTGCTCGGTGCAGAGGCAGTTCGGGAAGGTGATAACAGGGCCCAGCAAGCATCCGCAGCCACCCCTGACCTCCGGCTCCCCGTTGGCCGCTCTGGCCAACGTGCCCGTGCTCAGCACCCCGAGTTCTGCTCCCAGCTGCTCTTGTCCACCAGCCCTGCAGCCGTACGGAGGCAGCCCTGGAGGGATGACTCCTTCCTCCAGCTACCAGCTGCAGCACCGTATCGAGCGGATACTCGAGGAAGATGCTGTTCGTTACCAGCTTTGGATTTTGCCGAGGGTAACGCGACGAGCTGCATCTTCCAGTAGCCCCCATGCACAGAAGCACGCTCGCGGTACATGAGGCCAGCACGCCGGAGCCACGACCGAGCCAGCTGCAAAGCACACATCCCAACCCAGGAGCCAGCACAGCAGCAGCAGCGAGGCCAGCACAGCTCGCTGAAGAGGGGCTTCCACCCTCGCAGCAGGCACACAACCTCCCAGCGCTGCTTCTGGACCCTGGGCACAGATTTCAGCCTGGAACTCACCCCCTCAGCCACGCGCTTTTGGGGGAGCACAGCTCAAGAGGGATTTGCCGGCCGAAGCCCCCCTGGTGCCACACGGAGGAGCCCAGGACACGGCGCAGCAGCTCTGTGAGCACCCCCTCGCCTCAGCCGAGCAAGGGGCAGCAGCAGGGCATTGTCACAGCCCTCGGAGGGCTCAGCGCAGCCTCCCGCTGAGACGAGACGTGCGATGAACCCCAGGCAAGAGGTCCCCGCAGCGAGTCCCACGAGCAGCGCCCCAGCCACAGGAGCAGCGCCATTCATCAGGCTACAGACAGGGCAAGGAGTCCCCAGGGTGCCCGCTGGATGTCCCTGCTCGCCCCCCCAAGGCCCCGAACGCAGTCACCGTGGCGGGGAGGATGCTACAACGGTATATACACAACGGAGCGGCTTCAGCTACGGCCCGAGCACGAGTCTTGGGTTTGACAGCCCTCAGCACCTTACCCTGCAGGAGCAGGGCCAGCTGGGGGGGTTCTCCACAGCAGGGTGCAGCTGAGCGAGGTCCGAGCGAGTGCGGGGCGGAGGAGAGGCCGCGGGGAAGCTCGGCAGCGGGGCCGTGAGGAGTCTCTGGGCGGGCGGGGAGAGCACCCAGCGCACCCCAGGGTGCAGGAAGCCAGCGAGCCTCCCTGTTCCAGCTCCACCGTAAGGCAACTTTTTTTTTGTTTTGTTTTTTTGTT